TTGTATTTATTATTCATTATCCATTTAAATTAACCTATTTGCTAGCACCTTGGTCATGTCACACAAAAGAATTTATACTGAGCACAATTCCAGCAAATATAAACGTGGCACAACTTCGATGTACGTACATGCATAATTAATTATATGCCCATTTCATTACCTGGATGCGCATGTAGAGTTTAACCTTGTTTTTAAACAAAATTGAGCTTTCCAATAAGAATTGCGTAATTTAAAGCAACGAATGCAACACATTTTACAAATCCCACAAAGAGAACACAGTGCAAGGAGGGTCGGGAGAGAAGAAAAACAAGAAAGGAATGCAGGGGAAAGGATGTGAGAAGGTATAGGAGGCTCGGAGCTAAAGATGCCTTCTCCAGTACAAAACAGGTGAGCCTGCTGACATCAGGATCTAGAGAGCCCTTTGTAAGAGTGGAAGGCACCTTCACATGCGCAGGTGGGATATCTCTGATTTCTGACAGTCCCTCTCCAGCTGCAATCCCTTTTCCCCACCTCAAGCCATTCTGTCCCTCTGCCCATCAGAAGTTGCTTGGGGAGGCGCACAAAGGGCTGCAGTGGCAGCAAGGAGGCAGAAGAGGCCTGGTGCCCAAGCAGAAGGCTGCTTGCATTCCCCACCTTGCTCAACACTTTTGAACATCTTGCATTAGATATACGGTGAACCATTGTTAACATGGAAATGTTTTTTTAAAAAGCATAGAGATCTGAAAATGTCCCTTGTAAGTGTCCTCTTGATTGCGCAGCACAGAAAGTTCAGTTCAAACTCAAGCAGCTACCACAGACTAGGGGTTGTGGGGCAGATAAACCAGCAGCTGGACTAAACGACTGTCCCAGTACCCACATCACCAGCATGCTTTTTTGGTCATGCAGCTTATGATCTGCATGCGTAATCTGTGTCCATTTGCTTCGGTATGCTAGTTTCAACGACAATGGTGGAAAACCATTAATTAATGAGCTAAGCGGTAATCAAAAGCCATCGTAATTAGTTCACACCATTTCACTATGGCTGTTTTAGAAACACAAGATTATGCCAGAAAATATTAAGTACCTTAAGGATATAATCATATTTGTTGGGGTGATTTAGAGAAACAAAATGCCACTCTCCAACTGGAAATCCAGCTGCTTCTGCTAATATGATTCTGCCTTGAATCTAACAATATGAAGCTCAGGGGGAGCCATAAAACCTCCAAACATGATGTGGAATACTGTTTTCTATGCATAAAACGCCACAGCCTTAGGGGAATTTTTTTTCATATCTTTCCAAAGCTAGATGTGAGTTCTGTATCCTCCATTTGGAAGCCCAGCAACTCCCCTTTCCAAGGGCTTGACATGTTTCCAGTTCCAGCTCCCAGTACATGCAGACCTTTTTTCGCATGACAAGGAAAGGAGCCAGGGGCTCATAACTTAATCTCGTGTGCTCTGAGCCCAGAGCTGCCAGGAATATAAGCAAAAGCATTTCTGCAATGAAGGCTTATGCTTTAAAATGAGTTTGCTCAAGATTTTCAGTGTGAGGACTACACCTAAGTAAAAGGAACCAGTGACCAGAAGATGGCACGATCTTCTTAGTTCAGGAGATTTCATCACCCCTCTTTATGCTACTTCTTAACTGTGCTTCTGATACGAACTTAGAAGGGTGACACAACGGGCGAGCAAAATCAGCTTGAACAAATCACTTTTTGGGTATGACACAACATGTTACCGCCATGCAGATGTCAAGGAAATAAACAACTATTTGACAAAATACAGCAATATAAAACAATTTCAAGGAACAAGGCACAAAACCATTGCACCAACAATAAACAATAACATTTGGGGTCCTGCACATCACCTGCAAACCTACAACTTATTCAAAATTTAAACAATTCCTCTTTTGTGCAACATGACAGCCATAACTCATTTGCATTCTTTTAAATTTATGTTGCACAGACGGCATTGTGTGACTGTAGTAGCATGCAACAACCAACTCCATTTTCTCAAGAACTCAAAGAAGAAGAAAATCCCCCACAGAGGTGCAGCAACCTCAGAAGTCACATTACACCTATGGTTCCATCAGTCTGGCAGGCTCCTGTAGTTGCGAGCCAGGAACCAATTTAAAATTGATGCTAGGGCGAGAAATTGAATTTGTTGACCTCTTGCTAAACCAGTGGGGGATTACTATTATTCTTATATCTGAGCCTGTGCTATGCTGTTAAAAACAAAAAAAACCACTGTTTCAAGCCAGTGGCAAAGGGCGAGGCTTAAAGGATGGATGACAAAAAAGCTGCCAAAGGCTGATGACTGGAAAATATGGAAAGACAGAGAGGTTCAAAGGCATGGCTCATCTACTAGAGCCTGATTACTTTGGAAATACCATTTTCAGACAGAGCCATTTTGGTGCTTAAAGGATAGTGCAAAAAATCTGCAACTGGGGATATCATGCAGCCCAGACCCATTTATCTAGGGATGCATTGGTGTAGATACACATATGTGTGAGTAGTAACTGTTTAGCACATAGTATTTATAATTCATTAAATTTAAAGCATTTCCCAAGGATGTTTCAACAACAACAACAACAAAGCTCCCAGAGTGTCCTAAAGTGCCACCAGGTTTGCAATCTAAAAAAAGATGGCACATAAGGAACAAGGGATGGGGAGGGCAGAGGAAAACAAGCAAACTTGGGTACCTGTTCTTAAACAAGGCAGTGGAGGCTTAGGATCAGAGTTTTCCTTCTCCGAGATGGGCTACCTTCCCAGGATGACAAGCACCATCTGCCCTCACTTTCTTCTACAAGCAAGTGCAATCCACCAGATTCTGTCTTCACTCAGCAAGGGTTTGAGGCCCATTAGCTACCTTCACCTGGTTTAGCCAGCCATATGAAGCAGTTCCGGCTGTGTGGCCACTGTTGCATGCTGATTGCTTTTAGGAGATACAGGTGAGAGCTGAGCGCAGGATGGGGACCAAAGGTGGACAAACTACCCCCAGCAGGAACGTGATGTGTCCCACACTAAAGATACAACCCCTCCTCAACTACTAGGTCAATACTGTACATGTAGAACAGCTCCCTCCCAACAGAAGCCCCATCTTCCTTTGCCACATAAGTTGCTGCTTTGGCAAGTAGAGGACATTCAAAAAGATGGCTGTCAATGCTTTTTAAAAGGAAAACAAATTGAAAGTCCTGCTGTGTACACACAAGCCCTCATGCATCTGTAAATGGATGCTTGGTCCCTAGGGTGAAGAAGGTGAAAGATGATCAGGGAAGCCTTTGCGAAGGCAGCAGTGGAAGGTGGATCAGTTTTCTTAATGCATGAAGGCAAAGCCAATGAAAGATTGGGATTAGTAGAGGAAGGAACACTGGGTAAGTATAGGATGTAATGCATATGGGCAAAGTTAGGCTCCTTGCCCTGCAGAATCACCACAAGAAAGCTGCTTTAGTCACTTCCAGAAAATGCAAGATGTAGCCAGAAATAACCATGGTGGAATGAGCATGCAGGGCAGGGGGTGCCAAGCTTTTGGGGCCTGTGGACATATCTACACACACACACACACACACACACACACACACTGCATCCAAGAACACACCACTATCTATTCTATTGTAGTGGTTCTTCTAAGCTGAATTTCAGCATGGATGGGGTAGGAATTCTGGGGTCCCAGGGAAGGCATTTGCAGGTACCTATGTGGCTGGTGGGCCCCATGTTGGTGACTCCTGAGTAGGGGGATGCATCCTGTTAAGCTTCCTCTTAGCACACACACATCAAACCTGCTTCCTGTGGATTGTACACAGAAGCTGTGTAAGAAACACTGTAAAACTGCAGATTGGGGTAAAGACACTTTGGGCCCCAAGTGTGATGGTAGGCTGACAGTTAGGAGGTGACATGCCATTAGGTGTGGCAGCCAGTGGTGGGTGGTGCAAGAGTATATTTTAACATGACCTGCCACATAGCTTTTTCACTGTATCTATGCGCCTTAGGAAACTGGCTGGCTGTGGCTAATCAAAGCATGGGAGTAAGACCAAAGCTCAATGGTAAGAGCATCTGCATGCATAATGTCTCTGGGGCAATCCCTTGCCTTGATATGGCAGCTTCCTACAAACACCAGCAACGATGTGCTGCATGAGAAGTAAAGACTATGTACAAGACCATCATGCACAGCAAACACAGCATGGTACAATTGTTTTTGGGGCAGGTGGGGATGCTCTCAAGTTTAGCACAACTCACACAAAAGCAAATTTTGTGTGAGTGCTGCTTTAGCCCTGGCTGCTGGTATTTCTGCCGTAAAAAGGGCTTCCTGTTCATAGTTCCATGGAAGTGCCTCTCATTTGAAAGATGGCCCTCTGGGGATGCCTTTCGCACATCTTTGGCCATCTTTGGCCACTGCATTTGGCATCGCTTTTTGCAAGCATTTCCCGGCATCTGAGCACTAGTGCATGCTTCCAGCTCCAGTTCCAGCTCCCACTCAACCTGTGGACTCCTGACGGTATCATTAAATGGTTTGTTGTGCTCCAGACGGCGTCCATCCCTACACCAGAGGCTTGCAAATGAAGGGCCGAACCCTGACACTATGTACTACAAGCCTGCCGAGCTACTTTCCCTGAATCACACCCTTCCCGGCAAGGTGTGCTGTCAATCATTCCCCGCCACCCCATGCCTGGAGGTGCACTTTTGGACAGCGGCGGCCCACAGATACACACCCACAACTCACGGGCAGGATGAAAGTGGCGCCTTTTCTCTCCGGCTCCGCACAAAAACCCAGCAACCCCAAAGCACCCTCGTGCAGCGCGACTCCTCGCTCCCGCCAGCAGCACGCAAGCGCCCCAGCAACGTAGCCGCATATTTTGTCGGCGAGGGTCTTGGACAAAGCCAACAGAAGGGTCCTTGTTAGCCGGCTACTCCCTGGAGAGGGAGGGTGGGAAGGGAGAGCGCGCGCAAGAAGGAGCGAAGCGGGGAGGGGGCGGCGGCGGGGTGGAGCTGGGCTCTCTCTCTCCCGCTGCCTGTCTCCTCCTCCGCATGCAAAAGCTGAGGGAGCGAGGGCGGGAGCAGCCGGAGCCGGGAGGGGATGCAGCGACTTTGCGAACACTTTGCAACTCTCCCTCGCCGGAGGCAGCGCTTCTCCCCGGCCTCGCCGCGGGCTCCCCCTGAAGCGCACGTCGCGGCCGGGCCGCTGGGGAAGCGCTCCAGGAACCCCGGCCAAGGAAAGGAGCGCGCGTCTTCTGAGGGGAAGCCGGAGAGAGGAGGAGGAGGAAGGACTCCTTTCCTCGTCCCCAGGGCGCGCCCTCCCGCCTGACCTCGCGCATCCCGCGCCTCAGAGGGGGAACCTTTCAAGCAGCTTTCCTCAGCAAAAGACGGCGAGCCGGAGTGGATAGTCCCCAGGCTGCTGCTGCTCCTGCCGTCGGCTGCCTCGAAGTCCCTTTCGGGACAAAGGCTTCCCGGAGCCGGCCCTTCCTTGGAAAGAGACTGCGAGGATCCCGCGTCCGGGTAAGGAGGAGAAGGAGGAGGAGGCGAGACATCTCGCGCCCGAGCCGCGCCCCCCGCGCGCTGCCACGCGGGGCTTCCCCGGCCGGCTGCGCCCTTGTCTTCTTTCTGCCGCTTTTCACGCTCTTTTGTTTCTCGGTGGCGGACGAGTCCTTTTGTGCTGTGCGCTGATGGGTTTCTAGCTTCTCGGATGTGTCGGGAGGGAAGGGAGGAAGGAGCCAAGCCTGGTGGCGCGCATTCTGATGCTGGAAAAGCAGGACAAGGGGCTTTCCTTCCTTTAAAGAGAGATACCCCAAATTCCCAAGCGGCTCGCGAAGTTTTGTAGGAAGAGAAAGTAGCAGCAGGCTTTTGTTTTCCTATGGTTCCTAAGTTGCATTTATTTTATTATAGGGCTCGAGGTAGAGAGCAAAGCACCTTTAAAGTTGCATTGTTTCGGTGATAGAAATACGCGTGTTTTAAATCTCTGGCGCTGAATGAAACCCATAGGACTAGGAAGGGCTTAACTTTTGGATTGTGCCCGTAGATGTTATTTTTGACACAGCCTGTTGTATTGCTGAAGCAGAAAATGGTCCATATTGGCGCTTGAAACACAGAAGAAGGGAGACTTTACCTGAAGTTGTTAGGGTTTTTTTGGGGGGGGGGTCCACATATTGGTGTAAGATGCAAGATGTGGGCTTTTGAATTGTACAGGTCTCTTCCTAACCAGAAGGTTGTGGTGCTGAATGGGAGTTTTCAGACAAGCAACTTGAAAGCTGTGTTTCAGAGATTAGTTGCTGGTCTGAGCAAAAGTATGTTTCTCGAGGCCTCATCAGACAAAACGAAGGGCGTAGTTCACCAGGAGTTTATTCTGCATCAGCCCCATTGAAATGAATGTCAGCTTTGTAAGCGTGCTCCCATTCCATCATCATCATTAATTAAATTTGTATACCGCCTTATACCCACAGGTCTCAGGGTGGTCAATAGGGATGGTATCAAACGTTTTCTAAACAAAGGCTAGTTCTGTGTAGCAATAACTCAAATGGAGTTTATAATGTATGATAAATGTACACACTTTCATATCACCATGTGTACATCTGGCAAAATAGATATGTATTGGAGTTCACACCATTTCTGCAGGTAAGTAGCTATTGTCCAGAGAATGAGCCACATGTGAAGTGGTCCTCTCTTGCATTATATTTCCTGTCCTTTGGGAATAACAAAATGACTATGGTGCCTGCTTTACAGATGGGAACTGAAACCACTGGCAATCAGTGCAAACATTCAGAAAAGATATTGTGGTATAGTCTTTCCGTGACATCACTACATAATACTGGAGGCATGTGGTACAGTCCTTCCATCACATTACCACTAAATAATACTGGAGATGTATTCCCCTGCAGCAGAAATTCCCTGAGTGTTAAGGATAATCATGTTAAAGAGAGAAAGTTGGCATACAATTTTCTCCCTCAAATCATAGCTTTCTGTTTGTATAAAGTTATTGACATGGAGAAGCATTTAAACGTGACAGCCCCGCACCTGTTTTCTAAAGTGGTGCAGTCACTGGGGGGGACGGGACGACGGACGGACGGGAACAGTCTCACATGCGTTTTATTTCTGGGCAGGGAGTTAACCAAGTTCTCAGAGGTAAAAGTGTGCAGGTTCATTGTTCTGCCCACTAAACTTGCAAGGTACCTAAACTGCTGTGTGGACCGCAGGGGAGTTATTGTGGTGCATGAATGCCATCTGTCTTGTGGGTATCTGATGCACTGATCTGAAAAGCGAATGGGAAGTATCTGTGGAGATTACCAGAATCATATCATAAGAGTAAAATGGTATCCGTTGCCAGAATTTCCAAGAACAAGACCTTTTGTTGCCCTTTTTTTACTCTGAAGTGATACCCGACCCCACAGACCTTCTGCATTTAAGACATAATCCAATATGTTTGGCAGAAGGATGAAATCGCAAGATGATGAAAAAAATAATCAGATAAATCCAAGTAGAACAGATCAGGTCTGTGTAAATTCTGCACTTAAATCAGAATCCTGCATCAATGTAACCCAAATTTCTTAGCAAAAAATTAATCCTGCGACATACTCATTTTGCAGATATACCATAATGGCATAACTCCTCTTATTCGGTGTGATTTTGCACATTTTACTTTATAGTGGGTGGGAAGGATAGGTTATAGTGTTTCTGCCTAGTCATGGAAGAGTAGCAGCCTCATTCCTGACCACTGGAAGTTTTGTTCTGCAATCCTTTGGTTTCTGCAGTTTCTCTGGGTATTGGCCACATGTTTTCAAGTATAACTTCATAAGTGCCAAAGTACAGAAACTTACTTTTTTCCTGGTTAATTTGTTTAGGAAGCTGAATTCTGCACACACAACGTTTACTGATAGTCATAACCACTACATGGAAGTTCTTCTGCAAAAGACATAGAAGACAACATCCAAAGAAAAAGAGTGCTTATGTATTTGTTACATTTGCACCCACTTTTCCTCTAGGGAGCTTGAGTACATGGTTCTCCCCCTCTCCATTTTACCCACATAACAACCCTGTGAGGTAGGTCAGGCTGAGAGACAGTGACTGACCCAAGGTCACCCAGTGAGCTTCATGACTGAGTGGGGATTTGAACCCTGTTCTCCCAGGTCCTAATCCAACCCTATGGCTGCACCCATACCAGCTCATTCAAAACACATTTTCACCCCCTGCCTTGTTAAGGGTGCTGGGAATTGTGGTTTGTTAGTTGCAAGCTATTATTGTTGTTGTTTAGTAAATTTGTTAGTCACTCCAAGACAACCCAAAGAGACTTACAGTTCTCAGAATTAATGGGGGATTTTTTCAAATGTACTTTAAAGGTCTGGTGTGTATGCAGTGTAAAGCTACTACACCATTACTGTCCCCATCTTCATCATCTTCATCATTATCAGTTCATTAAATGTTAGTGTACGTTGTGTGGGAAGATATAAAATAGACATGGTTCACACTCAATGGGTTTTATCATATGATGCTGCTGAGAGATAAGGGATAAGTGAGACTTAACTGAAGGTGAGAAATCCGAGCAAATTCTATAGTTCATCTCTGTAAGCAATTATACATTTGGTAGCAATGTTAGCAGTCCCTATGGGCCTTCCAAACTGTAAGGTTGAAGTTCTTTATTTTCCAACTTCGGAATACAATATGCGTTTTCTGCAGACAAGCTTTTCAGATGCTTTGTCTGAAAAAGAAACGCTTCATTAAAACCAAAACCGCATACATAATGTAAATTGCCAGCAGATTTCAATAGAAGCAATACTGGTGGTAGGAAATGACAGGCGCAAAGGCACGATAAAGCCTTTGTTTGGACTAGAGGACTACAGCATATGATAGGCTTTTGCCAGATGAAGGTCTCCTGTAACAATGATCTTTAATTGACTAAATAAGGGAAGACATTCATTGGAGTGAAAAGGAAGGCTCACGCTTTGAAAGCTGATGGGAACAAAGGATGGTTAGGGTGTGCCTGTACTAGCTCCTCTTGTTGCATTTCTTGTCATTTCAGCCCAGTTTTCTCCTCACTGCCTTGGCACCAGTCTTGGCCCACATTTTTGCACATACCTTTCTTGTATGCATGAGAGTACACTTCCCAGGATTGAGGGCCACTTAAAACAAAAAACAAAAAAAGCCCGATGCATTTGCTCAAGGAAAGCTTGTCACCTCTGCACTTAATGCCATCCTTTGAGAGCAAAAAGAAAGGGGTGAAATGCTCTAAGATGTTCCTATGGAATTGCTACATAGCTATGATTGATCAAGCTGAGTGGTGACTTAATATTTGCCCTCCGGATAGAAATTAGCATTAGAAATTTGCAAGGTGCAGTGGTGGGATTTGTCTGCGCCTAACCAACCTTGCAGTTCGAAAGCACATCAAAGTGCAAGTAGATAAATAGGTACCGCTCCGGCAGGAAGGTAAACACCGTTTCGTGTGCTGCTCTGGTTCGCCAGAAGCGGCTTAGTCATTCTGGCTACATGACCCTGAAGCTGTATGCCGGCTCCCTCGGCCAATAAAGTGAGATGAGCGCCGCAACCCCAGAGTAGAGGGCAAGGTGTGAAGTTGGGAAGTTTGGATGAGGGATGTTGAGGAGAACATTTGCCCAAATCAATTGCCGGATGGTTAGCTCCTCTTTAAAGAGGTTCTAGCCTTCCACAAGAAATGAAGGAAGAGGACACAGCACATGAAATGAAAGGAAGGAAGATAGCAGCAGCACATGCAGTTAACAGCTCTCCCCGACCCTGCTCCTTCACAAAGGAACATATGGAGATTTGTAGATTAAGCGAGTTATGGACTCTTTTCTTGTCACATTAGAGAAAGACTGTAATTCACATTGCCAGCTGATGTACTAATTTTCTTCCAATTATGATATTAACGCTTCAAAGAAAAGTGCTTCAATCATACACCTACATTCGCACTGTGGTCTCAGTTCATATATTTTCACCCTGATCTCAATGAGGACGTCAGTTTTTAAAGGCATACCTGATTGCTACAAAACTCTAATACTTTTTGCTCAGTCCACACAAATGCCTGCCTTTCCACTCTTTGGTTCAGGGTGTTATGAGCTAGTTGCAAGGCAATCTGCATACAAGGAGGAGTAATGTGAGTGTGCAAAATCACACTTCTTATTTTGGAGGTGCTGCTTCTCACACTACCCAGAAGCCTCCAGGAGGACATGCCATTAGTGATTGGCTTCTGTCCTGAGGGAGGAAGACTGAGAGAATTTGTAACTATATCCTGCCTTTAGAGTCATGACAAATGCCGTTCTGATTTTACACTGATATCCGGTCCTACACATCTCCTCTGCTTCTCTTTCAATATTTTTTTTTAAAAAAACCATGTTCTCATCGGTTTAACTGCCTGTTTATTGATTCATTCCTTAGCTGGCAGGCTGTGGCCTCAACAACAGGCTACACCAGCCTTTTCTTGACTATGTGGTTTTAATTTGTGATTTATTTATTTTTGAGGGATAGCAGCGGTGTACATAGAAATATTTAAAAGAGCTGCCATGACGCATTGCATAGGTTACTGGATTTTGATGTAAGAGTATCCTACATTGGAAAGATTTGAAGAAAGCCTTGTGTCTGAGCTTCTCCAGCTTGACAGGATTATTGTGAAGACAACAGTGAAACGTTCTACCATTTAGAAATGATACTAGTAATAACAAGTATTCTCCAGTAAAAAAAGAAAGAAAATAATTTGGATGGCTGTTCCATGTATATATTAACCGGCAAGTGAAATTCAAAGGTGACTTTGTGTTTTTGTTTTTGGAAAGGGACATGATGTTATCACCTAGACAATTAGCTACTGTCCAGAATGTGCCAGACCCTGGAAAAGGGGACTTGCTCAGAAATATCCAGCAATTACCTCATCCTTCAGGCCAACCTTCTACCTTTAGGTGTGGAAAGTTCTCCTTCCATCCTCCACAAAATCACTCAGTGGTGAAAAAAATGAGCCTGGGCATCATTCTGGATCTGAATGTTCCTGGGAGGCTTCTGCTTCAGGGCTGGCAGAGGCAGGTTCACGTAAATTTCATCCATGGTATTTCTCTTCCAGCTTGGATCTCAGCCACTGTGATTGGAAGCTGTGACTTCTGTTGACACAGTTGATCGCTGCAGCCAAATTCTGGGATGGAGAGACAGACACATGGGTATATTCTTCAGAGAGAGCATGTGAGGACTTCTGTGGATAATTCCTGTTAGTATTCAGAAGCATTATCCACATAAATCCCTCATTCAAACTGGAGAATAGGGTGTTGTGTATATGTAAACTGCAGCATTTCATCCTACCTTAGAGTCCCCGGGGGTGGGCAGGGAAATGATTGGGTAAGCCCTTGCTCCCTCATGGTATTAGTGCTCGGTGCCTTTCCCACCTACTAATTGGGGAGATTTATGGTTCCCAAAGTGGATGTTGAAAAAACAATTAATTTTCCTGGTAACTTTTACAAACCCGACTTGATGCTTGGACTGGAAATGGAGCAAGGTTTCCTGGAAATGTTCACCTCCAGATGCTGGGATATTCAGCGTTCACCAGGAATATGACAATGGATTGATTTACATGAAGGAATTCTTTCTTAGCACTTCCTTGCCTCCCAAGAGCTGCCTTGGGGTGGTGGTGGGGAAACTGAGCACACTAGCTGCTTTAAGGTGGTAAAACAGAAGCAAACGCCGATTCCAAATTAGCTTGAAGGAACAGGCGTCCCATTCAGTGGCTTTTCTGGGCTCTCGGTTGTAAGGGAGGGTGGGAAAAAATCAAGTCAAAAGGGGCATGTTTCACTCTCCCCCCCCCCCTTTCCCATAACAGCCGAGTAGCAATCTGTGGGCACATATTTTACAGTATAGGGAGAGAAGGAATTTGTTTTATAAAAATAATCTCGGGGGGCGGGGGGGAGAGCAACACAATGTTTGAAACCAGAATATCCCGACCTGGAAAAACAGTTTGTTGAGACGCAGATGTAGGTTTGTGGTTTTGAACATGCCCTAAAGGCACAGCAGGGAAGAGTGTGAACAGAGCAAGCCAACATTGTATTTTACTGTAGGAGGAAGCAGAGGAGCAGCAGCCAGATGCACCTCTGTTGTCTTTAACGGCAGGAATTCTAAGGCCAAAGCCTCCTGCTCTTGGGCGAACTCACGGCTTAGCAATAAGTTTCCCAGCCATTCCTGGTGGTCTGCAGACCATGGCATGTAAGACATCATGTTTTTCACTTAACACCACCTCCAGCCTGAGGTCTGCTGTGTAATCTCTAAGGGTGCCATTTAGGTATACATAGCATGAGTGATGAGCCCACAGGGAAAATGCACTTAGTTCTCTCTCTCTCTCTCTCTCTCTCTTTGCTAAACAGATAACCTTCCTCAGAGAATCAAGCTGGAAGCAACCATTTCTTTTTCCAGGAGAAGCCCAATTATGCAGAGCGCTGATTGGCTGGCCTTTGTGATAGGCCCAAAGCCACACTCTCCTGCCTCTTCAGTCTGCTCTGTGTAACACTGACCAGTTACTCCTTGTGGCAAGTCACAGAGTCATTCTCCCCTCCTGCCAAGCTGTATTTCAAGTTCTTTTTTTAAAAGTATCTGTGTTTTTTAAAGAAGGTTCTGAATGAAATTTAATTGGATGAATGTTACAGTGGGTTTTTTTGGGGGGGGGGGATGTAGCAGGGGATTGTAAAACCAGAACACGTGGTGGTGGGAAGGAGAAGAGAAAATCATTGCTAGCTAGGTATTAGTGTGAATAGAGGAGTAAAGCTGGCAAAAAGCAGAGTTTGAAGTTGGGTCAAAATGATTAAGAAAAAACACACTGCATCATTCGCAAGTGGCAAGATGGGGGTTAGTTTCATGGGGAAAACCCTCATTGAGCATGGACTACTCCATGCATGTAGAATTGCTCTGGTGAGAGTTTTTGTAGGGGGGAAATGGTGCCCCCCTCAACATTAGGTACAATGTTTTTTGTCAGGTGTGCCATTCTGAGCAGAGGTGTGTAATGATGTGGTGGTGTTCTCCAGTGGGTTGTGAGCGAAAAATAAAAAAGGAGTCTTCCACCTCCAGTGGATTTTGACAAGGAAGTTAAAGAGATGGTCTCTGAGGAAAATAAACAAGCACGACCCTGAAGATGACCTTCCTTGAACTTCAGAGAGATAGCGAAAAGAAAATGTCAGAGCAGAGTTATCGATTTTACAGTTGTAGGATATCTGTGTGGCTTTTTCTTCCCAATTCTTTCAATTTCTGAATGTGTAGCACGGGTGAAGAGATTACTGTTTCATCTCTCCCTCTTTCTGATTAGCGCCAGTCCTGGAGTACTATGCTTACAAGGGTTCTTTGTGGGAAAGTGGTGGCACAAGAATAGAATGTGAGGTCACTGCTTTTTCAAGGAAAGGATGTTGCATTATATGTATTGCAATACACAACATTCCATTGGGGTAGGATATCAGCCCTACTGAGTGACGCTGCCTGCATCCCAGCTGATCTAGGGTAACGTACTCTTGGTTCCAGGCAGCCATTGCACAATCAGGACTCAAATCTACTTGCTGCCTCTTTCTGTCTCCCTACTCATCACTTGTGGATATTATCCCAAGTCCAAGTAAGCAGATGACTCACCAGGAGTCCACATATGAATAGATTTCTTACCCAAGGCAATTTTGTTTTGGTTTTTGTGAAAGGGAACATCTTCTCTTTCCAGACTCATTCTGGTAGAAGTGGGTTGAAGAGGGAGGCATAGAATGTCCACATTATTTATGCATGTGGGTTTTTTTCAAAATTTTATTTGCGAGGATCGTTTTGAGGCAAGCAGTAGTTCGTTTTCATTTTAAGAAGCTTTGGCATTAAGCCTCTCCTTTACTGTCCCTTCAGGGTTATGATGACTTTTCCTTCAGACAGCTGTTGCAGGAAAGAAGAGCTTAACTTAGGCAAGGAAACACTAATCTCTCTCTTCTTTTTTGCTTTTTAATTATATTTTCTTTCTGTGCCTCTGTGTGGTCTAGTTGATCCTTAATGCCACCCTGCCAAGTCCACCAGAGATTTCAGTTGAAATGGGCTTGTAACATTAACAGTAAAATCCTGTGCACATCTACTTAAAAGTCAGTTATGTTGAGTTTGGATTGAGGCCGCAGTCCTATGCGCTGTTCCTTAGAACTGAACCCCATTGAAAACTCTGGAAGTTTCTTCTGAGTGAACGCACATAGGATTGCACTGTCAGCCTGCTTGCATCCTCTTCATTGCTGTACTCCATTGGGCTTGCAGAATGATTGCAGATGCACAAAGGAAAAACAAACAAAAGCTGCATTGGCTTCTTAGCAGAGAAAAATGGACAAAAGGGCTTTAAATTGTGTAATTACAGCTTTCTCTAAACATATAAAAAATACGAATAATATACACAAGAATGAAAGCAAGGTTCCAGGCATGAACTGCTTCACTGCTGTGGGCTGAGTTAGATCCTGACTGAAAGATGAGTAGGATGAAAAGGTAATAGACTGGCTTTGGGAAATTGCAGACCTTTCACCAGAGCAAAAACCTAACAGATGCTGCATTCACCCAGGAACAGCAGTAAGAAGAACCTTCTCTCAGTGCCTAGTTAAGGGCCCTTGTGGAATTTCCAACCCTTGGACCAGCCATCTCTCTCTGTTTGCATGTTTGAAAAACTGGAAGTGGGAAGTTGAGATAGGCTACAGATTTCAAACATACTCATCGCTTGGTGAACATCTTTCTAGTCTTTATGACGTCTCGGGTGTCTGCAAGCATGCACATCTGACCACCACTGAACATGAACATCATTAGCATGAACAGTAGGTGGTTCTGTCAGAAAGTTAAGAGAAGAAAGTAACAGACTGTTTTGGGACATGTAGTGCTTTTCGGATGAGAAAGACCACTCTGCCAAATGCCCCATGCCCCTAGGAATAGCAACAGGGAAAGGGCTTTCTAAATGCAGAGTTAAGGGTTTTTGTAATAGCCCCAGAATACCCTTTATCTACACATTTGAAAATTCCTGTATCAGAAAGGCAAGTTAGGCCATGCTGCATATTTCACCACTCCCACCATGGACTGGGCATCTAATACATTTGCAGTACCTTAGAAAATTCCTACACAGTTCAGTATAAAAGAATAAAAGCCAGAAATATATGTGCAGTGGTATGAGACTATAAAGCAAACAGATTACAACTAAATATCACATAAGCAGAGAATTGCTATGCAGCCAACTGTACATTTTTCCTTTTATGACCGTACGTCTAGTTTGATGTTTTCTCACCAGTTTTCTGATGCAGCCCAATTGTATGCATGTTTGCTTAGGAATAAGTCCCACTAATCACAGTGGGGCTTTCTTCCAGGTAGGTGTGCATATGATTGCAGCCTTAGGCTGGACTCCGCAGCCTACTCTAACCAGATGTGCATAGGATTCTACTGGTAATGATTCATAAGCGGGTGTTCCTGACATAATGTGTTAGATCTCCCTTTTTGGTCAGTTCACATGAGCATTTTCTGATGCTGCTCTGAACCCCTGATTGCAGCAGTTTGGAGTGCATGTGTTGGAAAATCCAAATTTTGTACCTAGGCAGCCCAGTTCTATGTCAGGAGAAACTGAATCCTGCAATAATACATTAATCTGCTTATTTTGTGCACACATTTGCTTATTTTGCACAATTTTGCTTCCTTTAGTCACAGGATGTGATGAAGAAATATTAAGGGCTGAATGCCAGTTGGGGGTGGGGGGGGTCACTACTCCCCCCCTCTGCCTTTTTGACACCTGCTTCCTCGGTTTCCCCATGCAGAGTGAGTTCTGTCTCCAGGCAAGCAAGCATTCTGAGCATCCTTCAGCTTGGTATCAGCACGGATGGCAAGCCAGAGAACAGTGCCCAGTCTACCATTGGATCTTTGTTGAATTTGGGGGTAGGGTGCTGCTGCTAGAGACAGTGCTGTCAACACAACCTGTGGTGGCTTCAAGGGCTGATAACGTGAAACGTCTTATGGCTTCGTGATGACGCCATGCTTTCTGCTTTCATGTTCGTTGACTGCCATACAAAAATACTGTTTGCCTAAAGTTGTCGTATAACTTTGCTATATGGATATCCTAAAAAAAAACCCCACAAACATTTTGAAGCAGCGAGCATTTTCATGTGGTGAAACTGCAATAGTTGCTTACTGTATTCCACCATGTGTAATGTGGTTTACTCCCAGGTAGCTGTGCATGGGATCATAGGCCAGCATAACTTCTGTTTCATTGCATCCCTATTGTGATAATGGTTTGTAAAGTTATCCCTTTTGGTTTAAGCGAAAGGAGCATTCTGAGCATTTGAAACCACTTTAGCTGCTGATACACACACTCTCATTGGGTATGTACAGGGTGAGTCCTTTAAAAGAGGCCCCGTGGGTACAGAGTACACATGTTCCACGGGGCCTCTTTTAAAAGACTCACCCTGTAGTTTGCTGCCTTGGCTGTCATCATGAAAGATACTTTTTGCTATGTACTGAAGTTCTCACCCTGGGCCAGCAGCGGGATACTGTAGATAATTATGCAAATGAAGGATCGAAAAGTGACGTTCAGTGATTGGATAGTTTTGTATGCAAATGAAGGATCGAAAAGTGTCATTCAGTGATTGGATAGTTTTAGAAAATGGCAACAGTTGCATTGTTCTGGAGCTCTATATAAGCAGGCTGACTGAGCTCCTCAGCCTAGTTCTGTTCTGGCATCTGAATAAAGAAGAGCTGTTTAAAGAATCGCTGTGTCGCCTGACATGTTCGCCCACAACTTAACACTTTTTTAGGGACAGAGCTGTACTGGTTTGGTTAGCAATGCCTTTTCACGGGTATGCTTTTGTCACCAAAAGAATACTAGGTAAGGATGGGGAGCAGCTAAGGACATATGAGACCAGGACCACATATTTGGGCAGGGCAGGACAATGATAATTGAGAACTTGGAAGAGGCTGTCTAGGTTTCTCTTTCTTTCTGCAAAGAGAAGTGTCTGTACTGGAACTCAGCCTGTGCTAGTTTCACACACCACATGCTCCATGCCCAAGGCAACCTTGACAGTCCCCTCAGGCTGGAGCAGCAGTTTCCTTTGTGCCTAGACAGGCAAACCATGCCCTTCATCTTATTCCTTGCCTGTAGCCCCACTGCAGGTAATTGATCATATGTAGCCAACAATAATATAAATAGCCCAGCCAGTTGCTCTGTTAATTAGACGTCTACTGTCTTGGTTGTTTTTACTTTTTGTGGCTTTCTCAAAGTTCTTCTAATGAACAGTGAATTATTTAATGTAGGGCTTTCCAACCTTTATACATATATATATATATATATATATATATATATATATATATATATATATATATATATATATAATTTATTTTCGTGAATGCCACTGTCTCCAAGGACAGCTGCAGTGTCTGGGGAGTGAGTGGATCACGTCAGAGGAAATGGGGGGAAATCCTGACCCAGATGCTGATGCTTCCTGGTCTCTCTGTCTGCAGGAAGGGCTGTAGCCTGGAGGCTCACATCATGCTCATTCCTATAGGGAGGGGAAAGGTGGTGGGAGCCTTCCCCAGATGCTTATGCTTCCTGGTCTGTCTGCAGCTCAGTGGTAGAACCTTCTGCCTTGTATGCAAAAGGTTCCAGGTTCAATTCCCAGCTAGGGCTGGGTGAGACCCCTCTCTGAAATCCTGAGAGCTACTGCACATCAGTGCAGACAATGCTGAACCAAAAATCTGCTAATGCAGCTTTCTACGTTCCTCTATTTTGCGCCCTCCTTGCCAAAATTATGCCTGTTTTGAAAGACTGCATCTGGACTGCTATGCACAGTTACACTTTGCCTCTAGTTCACTGCCTCCCCAGCTGTCTTTGCACGAGGTTGGGCCAGATTGAACGGCACTGTGCAGTCCTTGCTGCTGCAGCGGCACTCTAGACAACATAACATAATCTACACCCCCCGCCCAGTAGTGCTGTCTGCCATACTGTGAGTGGCTGAGAAAGGACAGCATTCATGTTCAGTATAGAGAAGTGCTTTTGATAGGCAGGAGATCATCGCTCTCTATCCAGAGGCTAAGCCAGGTCACCCCCTGTTTAAATGTGGGGCAAATTTGGCTTCTCCCCAAGTGGAAAGTCTCCTCTCCCTGTTTGATACCAGGTCTGATCCTATTACTTGCAGCTAATTAATACACAAGCTCCATGGAGCCTGTCATCGCGGGCAAATTCCAGGGAGCAAGAACAGTTTGTTGGAGCGGAGCAGTCATAGCTGTGTATTATTTTCCACTGTGTTTTCATCTTTCTCTGCTTTCAGACATAAAAAAGAGGTGGATGGTGGAGAAAAGGAGTGTGAATCAATTAAATAATTCTACGACCATGGTTTTTCTCACTTCACAGAGTTATTTTGCTGAACACTGAGTCATTTTGGGAAAATGTGACTTCATGCTTCCATAGAGTTTCCTTAGTCACCTGCGTAATGAAAGGTGCTTCCTTTCTTGTAGGGTGGCCCCTAGATACAGGCACAGATAAATGGGCTAATATTTGCAGTCATCCTTAGCAGCTGGTTGGCTGACTCATCCTCCCTTTTTTAAACCTTGCTTTATTTTAAAAAATCAACTCTACACTCTTCCATTTTCTTATCCCTCCAGAAGAAAGTATTCCAGGCACATGTATTCCCCACAGAGAAGGCAAGATATGCTAATTTATAATTATCCTCATTAGGTGGGATGGTGAGAGCACACAGCTGCAAGAAAGAGGAAATTAGTCTCAATGGGCTATAATTGCCTTGCAAATGAAAAGTTCTGAGCCCAGAGTACTGGGAAATGGCACCAAGCCTAAGCTTCCAGTCTAGGCACACTCAAGAGGAGAGAAGACCATGCTAGGTCACTGGCATTATTCACCACTGGCATTAGTTGTGACAGCTGTGGGTGCCAGGAGCAGGTCAGCAATAACTCACACGGCTTCAGTGAGGTTAACTCATTATTCAGAGAAACAAGACAGCTCCAGAGGCCACGCCTAGAGAGCACAGCAACTCTTGCCAGTAGAACTCACTTCTCTGAGGCAGTTGAGAGGACTGAAGTTCCCCACCTTTCCACAGCTCCTTAAATCTCCTCCCCAGGGTCCTTCCCAAGCAAGCTGAGGCACTGTCTCTGTGCCTGTCTGTGCTCCACCCTTTTCATACCTCTTCTGGTTCTGGGAGACCAAGGGCAAGGGGAGCTGGTTGCAGCAAGAGGGAGACCACTTGGCTTCCTCACCTGCCTGCCTCTTGGTTCCCCTCCTCTCCTGCCTCTGCTTCTGCCGCTGGGCTGCTCTCTGCCACAGACACTTCCTGCTCACTAAGCCCTGTTACCTCTTCAGCTTCTGAAACCTCCTCCCAGTCTGCTCCATATTCTCTCTCTGGCTCTGAGTCTTCTTCCCTTGGGGGTTCTTCAGCTGGTACCTTCCACCACTCCTCTTCATCTAGCCAGTCCATGACATCTTGCTCCTCTTTGTATATTTTAAGAGCAGGACTGATAATGCTGTGCGAAAACCAAGGCTGCCCCCGCGAAACAGCATCATCTTAAGTTCTCCCCTCGTACTCCGTGATGGATAGTAATGGGTAGCTGTGTTATGTTATGTTATTCGTCTTCCTGCCCCAGCCCAATGAATTTTGAGTCATGTAAAGAAGTTTCAGTCTGCATTAGTGCATTGGTTACACCGACCAACTTCTTCTTGGGAGAAAATATGCTGCATTTCACTTGCCCTCCAACTAAACATCTCAAATCTCAGTGAACATTAGCTGTGTCAGAAAGCTGAGCGTCAGCTGGGAGCAGCTTATCCGAAGAGGGAAGTGTTAAAAGGTGCACAGAGACTCTCTCTGTTTCAGCTAACAATAGGCCATTTATTACTTTTAATTCTGCCTCCCTTACCCAGACAGCAAGCATGTAAATGAGGAGTTTTGATCCAGCACTAAAGAAGGTAACTGAGATATAGAGAGAGGGAGAGAGAGAGAGCATGTTACATTCTCTAATAAAGATTATTGCAGAGGGAGACTGATAAGGGGAAGCTTTTAAAAATAGATTTAATTTAAGGTAAACTTTCTACTGCTGCACCTAGTTCCTACTTTTTATTTTAAGTTCAAATATACAAATACGGAAGTTCAGCTGGAAAAAATCCCAGGCACCTGGTCCTCTAGGTGCCTAGAATTTTTATTCAGGCACCTAATTATTTGAAATACCTTTTCCTGGCTCTGTTTACCAGCGGTGAACATCTGCTTCCTTCAAGTGATTGATTCTCTCCAAGGGACTGGATCATGTTATGTTCCTCACGTGATTCTTTTTTTAAAAAATAATAATAACTACTTCCATTTTTCAGAATGTCAGAATCTCAAATCTGGCAAAATGAGGAGGCTTGTAGAAGCATTTAACACAGCAGTTATGGCTCCACATGTCCATTTTCTCACCACAGTAGTTTTCATGTCAGCCGATTTCATGGTCAGCAGCTACAGCTGCTCTCCAACTACAGGCCTTCCAGGAGCTCTGTAGGAGCTCTACTCATTGAGTAGCTACATCCCTGGATAGACCAGGGTGTACCTAAGTTGCTTTACTGTCTCATTCAACTTCATCTCTTTCAGCTGTGTTTGGAAACATCCTTGAGCATGAAGTTGTTATGCTTAGCCACTTGTTCTATATGCTGGAGGAGCAGAACTTACTCTCTCAAATACCTCACACCTGCTCTTTTTGGACTGAAACATCAGAATTTGTCAGTGTATGACTTTGGTATGAGATTCTATAGTGCATCTTTTCCACTTGTTCCCTCATTAAATTTTCGCAGCTGACTTAGCTGTTGGCATTATTTTCAGAGTACCTGCACTGTTTTTGATGTGTCAACTTTTCTGGAATAGGTGGTGATAATTATTTAGCGGTGGACAGTAAATATATTGTTTCCACGCACTACTTCCTTGTTCCCAACAGTCTTTACAGGGCAGAGAGAAAGGAATAAAGATATTTTTGTAACGATCTATTTATAAACATATATTTATTGGGGCACAGAAGCAAGCACACAGACAAGCAGTGCTAGATTCAAGGCCGTATCAGTGCAATCTTCACAGTTCTCTCTGCAGGAACTTGTTAGCACCTCTGCTAAACTGTTACTCCCCACCCGGCAACCCCCCAAAACCCTGTTTTTCAGCATTGCACACTCCTTTAACTCAAACCGGATACATTAGTTCTCATCTACACTACAGAATCAGATACATGGCTCAAGAAGACTTTGGACAAAGGGTAGGCTAATGGAGTCTTGGTGCCGTGTCAGCTACCAGGCTGTGCCTTTTAAAGGGAGGCCTTGTAGCAAACAGGAGTTTTGTCAACTTTATGTGAAAGAATGTCATGCCTTGCTCCAGCCATACGAAGCATTTTGGTAGATAAATTCTTCATTACTCATGTTGGAATTTGGCCAACACACTGAGGACCCCTTTGCCTTGAGGAAGATATTTCAAATGTCACACGATTTCAAATGCACATGTGTGTATATGACCTCAGCTTGACATCTAATTGGGGAAAAAACACGGCTGGACTGATACATGATACTTTCTGAAGCATAGTCACATATAAAAATCAACATCTGTAAAAGCTGCATGCAGATACACCAGAAATGTGAATTGACCATGCGAGGCTTACATAGTTCCATATCACAGTTGCTTTTTACTACTACTACTACTATGTCTTGCATGGGGGTTATATTTCTGGAATGGCACATATAGGCAAAGATACATACCACCCCACCCCACCCCGGAATTGCCCTGCACAATCATCCTTACCTTCCAGGTAAGGCAGAGAGCTTGCTTACCAGGCTCTGGGATGGTCTCATGAGATCTCGTGGGGCTGGCTGAGTTCTCACAAGATATTGTGGGAACTCAGGTGGCCCTGCCAGATCTCGCAAGACCATCCCAAAGCCTGGTAAGTAAGGCAGGGAGCTTAAAAGCTCTTTCCATGCCAGAAAAACTTGGCCCAAAAGGAGATTCTAAGTTCTTCACCTTGCACACAGTTAATTTGTGGGATTTTGACCGACCGGCTTTCAATTGCATAAGGTTGAAATCATCACAGATAATCGCGTGCAAGATGCAATTATACCGTACACTGATGTCAAAGAGAGCATAGCTTGGGAAGAATGGAAAGAAAAGGATTTCTCATCACAATACTGTACTTGATTTTTTGGAAGACATTTGCTTAGGGTTGCCATATGTTTTGAATTTCCCGGACATAGCTGGTATTTGACCCTTGTAAACATGACAGCCAATTTCCTTAAAAAATAGCTCTAAAACTCTCCTTTTTTGACATTTTGCAAAAAAAATATATATCATTGAAATGCATTCTGGTTTTCAGACAGCCCAGACTACTAAGCTCCCCTGGATTCTATGTGGTTGTGACATATCCAGGTTTAAACACACAATTCTGTTGCTGTCATGTCTAGTTTAACCTTATGGTCTTCTCAGAGGCTTTGGTAAAGTTTCTGAATTCAGAAACCGAGAGTTCAAAAAGAAATGGAACTGAAAAGCATGTTTGAAGCTATGTAAAGGGATTTGCATATTTTATTTCACCCCTCCACCCCAGTTCCTCAAATATATTGACATGTTCACATCTTGGCAGTTACAGACCCTGGACACGACATGGAAAGCTTTGCTGTCTGGGTGGAAACTGATTAATGGAAGCCGTAAGCTCAGGAAACCGAAAGAGCAGCCGTCACACAATCGCAGATTCCATCAGAATAGTTAAGTGAACGTCAGCTAGAAGAGACTTTTAAAATGCATAAATGGATGCAGGGCTCTTTTCAATACCCATCACTGCGAAGATAATCTAAGCAGGGTTTTCGAAACCAAGTACCAGTCTTGCTCTGAGCTCCTGATCATTTATGCTTTTCAATAGGCTGCTTTATGCACCGGGAGGCAGAGAAGTTAACTGAAACTGCTCTGTTGGGAATTGACTCAGTTCTAAGAACCCAAGTGAAGAAATAGCTTCTTGTAGACGCTTCGCTTGTAACACTATTAAGTGAATGTTTCTTTAAGCAGCGCAAATATTACCCGTATTTGTATATCTACTGTGAGCAGGAGGGACATCCGTTTACTGCATTTAAAAACCCTAAAACCCTGCAAATGGAGTAATTTTCAGATACTGGGTATGCTCATTCAGTACTGGGGGTGCAGCACTGCAGCAACAGGTTGTGTCCCAAATCTACAATCATTCATTGTAACGTCTGAAAGAGAAGGGGCTGCCTCAGGAATTGGGAAAAGCCTTTACAGGTGGTTCAAGGAAGGTGTGTTGCCTGGCGGTGTGTCTGTGAAGTGGGAGAGTGGCATTGTACCAACAAATAATAATAATAATAATATTAACAACAACAACAACTTTATTACAGTCATACCTCGACTTACAGATGCTTCAGGTTGCGTTTTTTCAGGTTGCGGACCACCGAAACCCGGAAGTACCAGAATGGGTTTCTTCTGGGTTTCAGCAGTCACGCATGCGCAGAAGTGCTAAATCGTGCTTTGCGCATGCGCAGACGTGCCGAATTGCAACCGTGCATGCGCAGACGTGCTGCTGCAGGTTGCGAACGTGCATCCTGTATGGATCACGTTCGCAACCTGAGTGTCCACTGTATTTATATCCCGCCCATCTGACTAGGTTTCCCCAGCCACTCTGGGCGGCTCCCAACAGAGGGCTAAAAACAGACTAAAACTTCAAACATAAAAAACTTCCCTAAACAAGGCTGCCTTCAGGTGTCTTCTAAAAGTCAGATAGTTGTTTATTTCCTTGACATTTGGTGGGAGGGCGTTCCACAGGGTGGGTGCCACTACCGAGAAGGCGCCAGACCTAGAGTCATACAACGGATGTCAGAAGAGAGCCTATGCACACACAACAGTATCAGTCAGGAACAGTTTTCCACTATGATATCACTCTCCCCACAACCGAACCTGTGTAGAGAGCTGGATGGGGTTTGCAAAGGAAAAAAGCCTCCACAGGGGGCCCTGTTACAAATAATGCATATAGATTGGCAGGTGTGGGGAGAGCCTGGCTCTGTGATGCCACCCCTTCCTCCCCTGTGCATTCATTGTCCGGAAAGGGTGAGCCAAATCCTGCAAGGGAGCCAGAGCTTAATGTTCTCCATTAGTTCCACTTCCTCCCTGCTCCCTAGCACCTTCTGTTATCTACTAGAGTGAAAGCTCCAAATGTATGTTTTTGGGTAAAGGGGCACTTCCTAAATGCAGAACGGCATAAAAATAGTAGATCATTAAATAAATATGCGGCAAAGGTGTTCAGTTAATAGGAAGGTGGAGGATTCCAGTCTGATGTGATGAACTGAATGGTATGGAAACTTGCTGTTCAGCTTTGAGCAGCCAACAGCACTGAAGGAAGACAGCCAATCCCTATGGGGTCACTTGGTATTTAATAGTCCATACCAAAAACATAAACACTAAACCTGCTAATAGATCTACAGGGGTTAGCGGTTCGAAGAATATTATCCACAATATCCCCCAAGGTTATGGTGATATGTTTTGCATGTTGCTGCTTTCGGAGGTGGCCCATAGATAGAACTACCGTACTTCCATGTTCACATCCTTGGCTTATTGGTGACTTTGAACTATGGGTGAGATTGACACATTCAAACACAATGCGATCCAAATAGCGCTTCAGTTTTGAGGGGAAGGGGGTGGCTTTGGCAAGTCTCTTTTACTCATTAAAGAGCTGTGAGGGACCTCTGACATTAGCATCACGAAGTGTGAGTCAAATGAACTGACTCCCAGTTGGCCATTTCCATATTCATTCCTGTGATTCCTGATTTTCCGGCATCTTCTGGTTCTCCTGGAGCAGATTCCTAGGCTCCCTGCCATAGCGCCGCGGAAACAGTCTGCTTAGGAAGAAACAACTCCTTTACCCGGATGAACACAAGATGCTGAAACCGGCCTTCCTGATTTCCTTCCTTCATCACATGATGTCTTGAAATACTTTCTCTGGCACCTCTTTCATCTGAAAAGCGAAGCAGAGTCCTGGCCTGTTCCAACTAAGTGGTAGATTACCGCTTAGCCTAAGGCCAGCACTGTCACTTATTCTTGTGCCCCAGTGTATGAACTGCCCAAAGTGATTCTTGCCATGTTAAAGCTCTAGGATAGGGGGTTCATCTTGTAGCCTAATATAGTGAATGCTTCTGTCCAAGTGAAGCATGCTACTAGATTTCAGGTGAAAATAGCTTCTGCCCCAAGGGATGAGGCCCATGCAATCATAGAGGGCAAAAGTCAGAGTAGTTCCTTGACCCACCTGAGCTTAGTACTGTCACCCTCCTTTTATACAACCCAATGTTTGAGTGGAAATCTTATTTTAAAGGACATTAATCACTTATTTAGCTGTAGTCAACGGGAAGCTGAAAAAAGGCTCAACCTACAAACAGGAATTGTTTAAATAAAAGATACAAGGAGCCTGCTAAAAAGTGATCCAATGAGACCAGCTGATGTTATTAATGCATTTTATTTGGGGGGAAATAATCATAAATCAGGTCAGGGTGGTGGGGAACAGGCTGACAACGCAGAAAACACTGGACTTCAGTGACATTATCTGGATTCTCCATAAAAACTGAGCAGAGGATGGCAATTCCAGAGACAATCACTACTGTCTCTTGAGCCATTAATGTTACCAACTACTTCATCCCTGATCTCTAATTCATCGTTTTAGATCAAGGTATGGTTCACAGATGCATGTTCATCAATAAAAATTATACACGTAGGTAAACATTTTATAAATATATATATATATATTTATACAGTGGTACCTTGGGTTACGAACTTAATTCGTTCCGGAGGTCCGTTCTTAACCTGAGGTACCACTTTAGCTAATGGGGCCTCCTGCTGCCGCCGCTGCACGATTTCTGTTCTCATCCTGGGGTAAAGTTCTCAACCTGAGGTACCACTGTATTGCACAAAACATTAACATGTAGCTTTGCTTTTAACAAATGCATTGTACTGTATTTACTCAAATCTAATGCACACCTTTTTTGGCCAAATTACATTGCAAAAATTAAGGTTTACATTTGTCAGCAAATACCTTTTTTGGTTTCAAGGTTCTGAAAATTGAGGTGCACATTAGATTTGATGACACATTAGACTTGAGTAAATACAGTATTTCTCAGTGTTCATCATAATACAGTTGTACCTCGGAAGTCTAACAGAATTTGTTCTGGAAGTCCGTTCAACTTCTGAAACATTCGACTTCCAAAGTTCAGCTTCTGATTGGCAACCCTGCAGCCAATCAGAAGCCGCGGAAGCCCTGTCAGATGTTTAGCTTCCAAAAGAACGTTCGAAAACTGGAACACTCACTTCCGGTCTTCGATCGTTTGGGAGCCAGAACATTCGACTCCCAAGGCGTTTGGGAACCGAGGTACAACTGTACAAACGTTTGCTCTGTCCCTTTGAAATCAAACTTCTGTAATATATGCAAAATCGTTTCCCCAACTCCTTTATGCTTCAAATGGTCTATTTCCTAAGTTAGATGGGTTCCAGGCAAAATTCCTTCGGTCCCTACTTCAGGTTACAAATTGTGTTCCTAATTCAATTCTATTTCTGGAAACAGGTGAATGTCGGCTTTTCACCAAAGCGTGATGGGCTGCCTTGAAATATTGGCTAAAGATTTCAGTATTTGGCCTGGGGAAGGGATTACTTGTACATTTAACCAACAAGGAGTCTATCAGCTTCTGGTCGAAAACTATGGTCCGAAAAGTCTCCTCGATTGGACTTTCACCATCCTTTTTATATCATCTGGGTTATGATACTGCCCTTAAATCCCTGAGGCAGAGGCTATAAGACATTTCATACAGCGATCTTTGATCTCGATCTTATGTAACCTGTGGACCGTTTGCATCTGGAATTCAATATGGACATGATTTTCAGTTACCTTCATATCTTATGAATCTTTCAGTCCCTAACTATCGTTGACTGTTTAACAAAGCCAGATTAAATGTATTTTCATCTGAAGTACTAAACGGCAGACTGGCCAGCGTACCCTATCAGTATAGGCTCTGTTTACGTTCTCAGGATGTGGACTGTATGAAGCATATTTTACTACACCGTTGCCAGTATAAACAAGCCAGGGATAAATTAATCAAACCCTTATTGGTAAATTTACTGGCGAAATCTGAAACCTTCTGTCTCAAGTATCTTCTTGAAGATAAGTCAAAGGATAATACCCTGGCCGTGGCTAAGTTTGTCTCAGAGGTAATAAGATCTAGAAACCAACATGCTCCAGATAAAACTTAGTGACTGCCTTATAATCTTTACCCTGTATTTCTGCTGTATCTTGCTTTGAAACTGTTTCTTGTGGGTCTTTGGACCTTAATAAAGAATGTGTGTGTGTAATATATTGGACTGCTGTGGAGATGGAATTTTTTGAAAATTCAAGAAATCCACATGGATTTCTTTAATTCCTGTTTCGACCCTTCGCCTTGACAAGAAATAAGGATTTCCCCCAATTTTGCTAAAGACGTGAACAATTCTTGTATATTATATGCAAACAATGTTTCATTCCAAATTTCCTAAATTATCCAGAACATACTTATAGCTGTGTTTATAGCTATAAAATAGGTATACAGTATAGGAATATTCTTATGAAATTGTGTTAACAGAAATATAGTACAACATGGCTCTTGACTCTTTTATACATATAGCTGCATATATTTGTACATATAATCCCCTCCACCCTTCCCACAAAAAAACCCCTAGCAGTGTCTGAGCAGCTTGGACATATGGGTGCTTGTTAACCAAAGGCAATCTCATGTTAGCAAAACACAATCTTAAGTGAGGTGTAAACAGCACCTCTTTCTTCAGTAGCCAGTTTAAGCATGCTTTTTATAACCAAACCAAACCAAACCATGTATTTTGGGCCTAAATGGAGGAAGATGACTTCAGGGAAAACAGGTGTGTGGGTTTTTTGGTTTTTGTTTGGCAAATTTGGCATTTGATTATACATTGTATAACAAATAGCCGGTAGTTTGCCATATGCAGCAGCCTCTCCACCTCCCTTGTTCCCCTGCCAGGCAGAGTTACAAGGGTAGAAAACCCTTGTATTTAAGTTTTGTTCACTGTAGTGTAAACGTTATTTCCTCTTTGTGACATTTAGTAGCGGGTGGCCCGTTAAATTCATTCGAGAAGAGAAGATCTACTGACTTTAGTAGAGGAAGAGGGTAGCACAAGCCTTCTAAAAACAGCAAATTCCCATTTTAAGCATGTCTTGAAAAGACTGTGCTGTTAAGAATACGGAATCTCTACTGCCCTGAAAAATGGTAATAGCCACAATAGTCCATGGCAGCTGTTGCCATCAGAAAGAAAGACTTTAAGGCAGACAGTAGTTTTATGAGAGCTGAAAGTGGTTTGAGAGAGATTTTGTTTCCCATGGAAATGAGTACAGTGGTACCTCAGGGTACATACGCTTCAGGTTACATACGCTTCAGGTTAAAGACTCCTCTAACCCAGAAATAGTACTTCAAGTTAAGAACTTTGCTTCAGGATGAGAACGGAAATCGTGCTCTGGCGGCGGGGCGGCAGCAGGAGGCCCCATTAGCTAAAGTGGTGCTTCAGGTTAAGAACAGTTTCAGGTTAAGTACGGACCTCCAGAACGAATTCAATACTTAACCTGAAGTACCACTGTACAAACATTTCTTGCCTCTGGTCAAATAGATGGGGCAGGTTTTTGAGGCAGTGCTTGAACCTCTGAAATCTTGAAGCAAATAAGTAGGACCATACTGTTACCAACAAGAAAGATGACAGAATCAAAAACAAGTAACCTTTAACTCCTCCTGTGCAGCAAAAGATAAGCCAGCAGCCGCTGCTCCAGCCTGTTCCCTGCTTGGTCCTGTTGTCAACGTTCCCTTCCCGTTTGCTATGTTAGCACACCTGGATTCCTGATCAGGTTGGGGAGGGTGTGGACCCCAGGACCAGGAAGAGAACAAGCAAGAGAAGCTGATGGTTCCTTAGAAGGTATTTGTTGTTTGGCTTTATCAACAATAGCAGCTATGCCTCATTCAGACTTTCTTCAGCCCTTTCTCCTCCTTTCAAAAAAGAAAAGAAGCAGCAGCAGTGTCCTCAGACTGAAAGGCCTTCTGTCATCGCAGGTGCCCAAGCAACGTGACCACCTGTTCTGAGCATCACCACTAGCGCTGCTGTAATAGCTGCATGGCATAGCCTTTGATGAAGCCGTGCCTCGTAAATCTGCTGCACTCCGAACAACTCTGAAACAGAATATACCAAATGACTCCATGACTCTGTAGGCTGGTACTGTTATTCCTCTTCTCCCAAATTACTATTTGTGCAGTACAATTGCCACCTCTGTTTAACAAAATGTTAGAGGGCCATTTAAAAACTAGCAAGTCCACTAACGTAAGTTTGCCAGTGTTTCGTGCAAACAGCTCCCCTTGTGCCATTCAAGTAGTGCAGTCCCTGTGTGAGGACTATGCCATATCAAAAGAGATGCAAGAAGTGATGATAGGAAGAGATTGTAAGAGGTGATCACGGCATCTTTTATTCTGGGGTGGAAACCCATGACTAAGTGCAATGAAGTAATTCATTCTCTATTTCTAATCATGCTGCTATCATAAACCCCCCATCAGTTCAAGCACACAAGCAGTAGAGGAAGTCAAACACAGCCCAAATGCTTGTCTTTGTTTCCCAGCAACTGTGTCACATGATGGAGTGGCTGATATGTGAAACAACAACAAAACCCTTGTTTTGCTCCACAAGTTACAGGAGGCTGGCACCATCCTTTAAGAAGCATGCCTTCCTGTGTGTGTCCTGAATAGGTGCTTTCCTTCCATGAGTTTTCAAAATGGTTATTAATTCACCATGTATTGATTTTTTTAAAAAATGTGCTGTCTGATAAACATGGGGAATACAGAGGTGTTGCACAGGTCCACAACTCTCATTTGTTTTACCCAGCAACCCTGTAAGCTAAGTTAAAGAAAAAAAGTTGCAAAAGGGGAAAGTACACATGGTTCAGGTGCCATAGGGTATCCACTAATAAAAAAAAAAATCAAAATATTTTTGATTAACGAAATATGGCAACCCTAAATGACCTGATTCAGGAATAAAGAACCTGCAGCTCTCCAGATGTTGCTGGACTGCAACTCCTATTGTCCCTGCCAATTGGGCATGCTCTCAGGAGCTGATGGGAATTGGAATCCAACATCTGCAGGGCCACAGGTTCCCAGTCCTGGCCAAATTGGAGCTAATCCAATTAAATAGATATTTGGGTCCATCTTCCTTGTCCTGAAACATCATCTTACTCTGTATTATTTGTTTGCATCAATGAGCTGTTTCCTCTTCCAAGAACAGATGTAGGAAGCTTAAGTACAATACTAAAATATGTTTTGTTTTGTGTGGACTTTCAGTCTGAGGTTAAGAATCTTGTCTGATGCAATGTCTGGAAGGATTCCTCTGGCTCATGTTCCCATGATGTAATGAGTAAGAATCAGATAGTAAAGAAGCAATAATCCATAATTGGCTGTACCACGTCAGAGCAATCATTTGAGTGTACGCTGATGATGAAATGATGTTCTGAATGTAATACACCTATTGGCTTTTATTGGTGCAGTGAGGGGGGATTCCTAAAGCAGATATCAAACATGGAATTTAGAAATGTGGTTGAGCAGAAGTAAAGTTACTGAAGATCAACTTCCCCAACGATGCTTCTTCACAATGAAAGTGCTTTCCATTCTCCACAACAGAAGCCTTTGAGCTCTTGAGTAGTTTGCTCCTTTAGTTGTATTTGGAAATGCCACCGCCATCTGACATAGGACAACTGCAGATGTCAAGTGAGCAGAGGTTTGAGTGCTTTTTCATCTTGTGTAAAGCGTGCAGACTTATTCCCCTGGAAGTGCACCTCCAGGCTTTGAATAAGACATGGGAACATGGCGAGAGGGAGCATGAATCACACACATTCTCCCACTTCGTTTCATATAACCAGGTGTGCTGAATGAGCGCACCCAATAATGGTCAAGCCAGATGATTTAAAAACTCATCCAGCCTTGTTGCACTATTTATGTTTAGCTTTAAAAGTTCACAAGCAACAGTTCAGGATTCTGATGCCAGGACACAGTTTTAGAATTCTGAAATGAGATTAGAAAAAGAGTGCAGCCTGTGTATTACAGGGGAAGGTAGCTGACTGGGTACATTATTTTGGTATTGTTTTGTTATGAAATAAAGAGGGTTTCTGGAGGGGAGAGGGGAGTGGGGAGCCCCTGGGATATTGTTTGAGGTGACCTTACTGTTAGGTAGTGGGTGAACATATCAGACGACACAGCGATTCTTCAACAGCTCTAGTTTATTCACAGGACAGGACAGAACTGAACTGAAGGGTTCAGCCAGCCTGCTTATATAGAGCTCCACTACAATGCAACTGTAACAACTTTCTGTAACTATCCAATCACTGAACGTCACTTTCAATCCCTTATTTGCATATGTGGACCTGAGTGAAAACTATCTACAGTATCCCCCTGCTGGCCCAGGGTGAGAACATCAGTACATAACAGGTAGGATGAGGTTCAAAGAGAGCAAGTCGTTCATTTTAGTGCCATAGAGGTGCCATTTGGATTCCCATGGACAAGAATTCCTTGGGCTGTATCATCTGGACCAGGGGTTTTCAAACTCATTACCCCCATGGCCCATTGGAGACTGGGGGCAGAGCTTGGCATAATCAGCTGGCAATTACTGATAATCAGTTTTATCTAACCCTCCTTGGAAATTGCTAGATTCTTTGCCACGTCGCTTTCCTAGCTTTCCTCAAGCTATAAATACAAACATTAGCTCTGGAGGTTTTGTGACTGCCGCCCCACCCCCATTTTAGGCAGAATTTGCTGGCCCAGAGGGTTGAGCCTCAACATACAGAAGGCTTGTTCTTTTATATTTTCTCCTTCCCGCCCTGGTGTGCATGCCAAAGTATTTTTATCCGTTTTCTGTAATTTCTTCTCCCATTTGCCTTTCACACTCAATTTGTGCCTTTCTCGCTCTCTCTTTCTCCCCCACCCCTGTCCTGAACCCCCACTAATTTCTTTCCACCCTGGCCCTTTTACATCTGTTTCTTCTTCCTTTAACAGCTTCCCTCTTATCCCCTTCCTCTTTCTTCCCACTTTGCTTGCTTGTTTCTAATGAATATCAAAATTTTATCTGTTCATATTATTTTAGCTTCTTATTCCATTTCTAATTTCCTTCAACGCCTTCTTGGGCCCTTTCCCTTCAGAGGAAGCTTCCTCCCTCCTCATCCACAAAGCCCTTCTGTTTCCTGGCCATCTTTACTCAACATGCAAGGGATTGCTGGTTCTGGCATTGGTCCAGCTGAAAGGCTTATGGCGACGGCAGGCAAGGGGTTAAGCAAGTGAAGAGGGACAGAGCAGGCTGTGGCACTAAAGCTTGCCTGAAAGTGGACCCACTGGTGAGTCCTGTCCCACTGTTTGACAGACATTGTTCTAGAGGAGGGTTTCCCAAACCTGAGTCTCCAACTGTTTTTGGACTACAATTCCCATCTTCCCTGGCCACTACTCCTGCTAACTAGGGATGATGGGAGTTGTAGTCCAAAAAAACAGCTGGAGACCCCAGTTTGGGAAACCTTGTTCGAGAGGGTGGATTTTGCACAGCCCAGAAATCAAATAATTAAAGTACCAGCATGGTGCAAATAGAACCAATCTTTTTAATAATCCAAAAATAAGTAAATCTGTCACCAGCAGTTTACTTTTCTGTGAGCTATATACTATTTAAATATTACACTCGAATGGCCTGCAACACAATGAAAAGTCTGCTCCGGGTTGCTTGCCCCATGATGTTTCCCACCCTGCTGAGATGAAAGCGATTCTGAAGAGCATCCTTAAGCAAAGTCTCAAATGAAAACTGCAGACCATATTGCTTTGTGAGCCACCGTAGGCTTTTAACAGTCCTTAGAAAAGCTCATAAACAGAAATATGACTTTTAAGAGGAAGCCTGTGGTGAGACAGAGGTCAACGAGCCTGCTTACTATAAAAGTCTGGCTCAGAGCAACAGTTCTGAACTGAAAGGGCACGTACAGACGGAGGAGTAAGGACGGCTTCAAACGATCCGGATTTCTTAAAGCTTTGTGATGAGCAAACTCTTCATCCGGCTCCCAGTGCAAGTACCAAGCTAACGTTGCTTTTTGGAGGTAGCTAGCACAAGAAAAAGTTAGTGATCTGTAACAGACCTAGGTTTGGAATTCATCCTCAATTAAAAGTATTCTGGCAAGACTATAGATATATATTTTTTGTATATATATATTTTGCTGGTTTGTTTTGACTTTATTCTTTAACCCTTCTCTACAGGCCCCAAGTTAAATTAATATTCAGCTTACCATGAGCTGCCAGCTGCTTCACCTGGATTTTGCCCTCATTTCAGCCTCATGACCCTGGTTCTTGACTGTCTATATGGAAGACAATTGTTTTCCACGTTAATTTACCCATCGGCGTCTTGTTCATTATTCCTTATTGTATCGTATCCTCATCCAGCCCATACTGACACTCAACTTCATACTTCACATAGCAGCATTGTTGTTTTTTAGCTACATTTGTGTTACCCACAGCAAATGCATAAAGTGTGAATGGTGGTCTTAAACACATGGCAGGGAGTCTGAGTGGTTGTGTCCAGCACATGTTCACATGCACCTGCCTGTTGCATTTTATGATGCTGTTTTAGAAAATATTGATGTGACAGCAGAGAAGCCATGACAAACGTGACCGCTGTGTGAAGCAGCTGTGAGGACATGCATAGATTTTATACTGGGTATTCTGAAAGACAGGCAACTCCCATTTTACACGTGTGACCTGCACTGTTTTCCGATCTGGCCACTTTTAGTTAACCACCATAAAGGTGCTGTTCTTTGGGGACTGGATACTCTGGCTGCTGGTAAACTATGCCTTTATGGGGGATGGGGTTATGTATATCTGTGGTATTTCTATGTTTTTGTTAATTCTGTATTGATTTTTATTGACTTCCTTTAATTTTGATTCTGTTAGGCTGTCCTGGGTCTCTTTTTATGGGAGAAAGGCAGGGTAGAAGTCTTCTCATAAATATATACATTTTCTTACACTGGCTGGGATTTGTTGGCGACAGAAATCTGTTCACCAGTTGTCCCTCGGAAGCCAGAATTAACAGTACGTTCATTGTTGTCTCTGGGTATTTTGATACCGGTCTTAAAAAACACTGAGGCTGCAAAACCACATTGATTGCAGTTCCATAGAAAGGTGGTATACAAATTAAAAAATGGAATGGGACTAGAACCCTGTACTTGTTTACCTGGGAGTTAGTCCCACGGAACTGAGTCGAAATTGCTTCTGAATAGAAAGGTGTGGACGATTGCATTGTTAGAAGGAGAACATTGGGTGGGTGGGTGGGTGCGTATTTAGAACTAGAAAATTTTATCCACATTTTTCCAGGGTAAGAAGCAGACAGCTGGGAGTTAAAAGCAACACAGAGCACACAGTTCTGAGTCTTAAATGAGAAACATAAGCCTTCAGACTCGGTTACTTGGGAAATTACTATTTTTATGGCAATAACATATCTGAGCCAATAGTGCAGGTTGGAAGCGCAACACTCAGCCCTGTGTTTTACAAGAGAAGCTGAGAACACATTCAGCAGTCTTCTCTCCTGATTTCTCAATCTTAATTTTGTGAAAAGAGACATCTGGGTCCTATGCGTATTTACTCGAAAGTAAGCCTCGTGGGATCAAACAATTGCAGTCTGTGTGTCTGTATGACACAAGTAAGACCCCCCTCCCAAACCCTGAATTGGCAGAATAACTGAAAGTTGTGAGAAGGCCTCTAATCTCGAGTTCTATCTTCCTTTATCTGCCAATAAAAGAGGACATGCTGTAAACTCTGGCTGGGGGAGACGTTTTGTTATTGTTTTTTGTGTTCAAATAACAGAAGGAAATGGCGTCTACAAGTTAGCTGAGTGCTCAAGAGTAGCTGTTTCCCCTTTGGAGACTGAAGTGGCTGCTTGTTTCTCACTGTGTCACGGCAGCCATGATTGAATCCACACCTGTGACAGTCGTTTTAGGGCCTAGGGCTGGCGGACCTCGCAGTCAAACTACGTATTCTTCTGTTAAGCACACTGTTTATAAATGGAGTTAGAACTCGCCAGCAGCAGCAGCCATGGTGGGCAGAGGGCAGTCTGGATTGGGATTGTGTTGTCACGTAGGATGGGGAGAGGAGTAACCAATTTCCGCTTTACTGTTTTCCAATGGGAAATGCCCCTTGCAGCTGCTATTTGCACTTGAGCAAATATCACCTGAGGGTGGGGAGATTTGAGGGAGGCATGTTCTCCTTCCCTGCCCCAGATCCTTATCTGTATCAGTGCAGGGACACACACACACACACACACACACACACACACAGGCTTTTTGCTAAGAAAGAGAAGTGGAAAATCTTAAGTGCACTTTCAAATATTGTACTTAATGTAATGTTTAGTTTAGCTCTGAGATGGAGTTTGGGGGTAGGGGTTAGGCTTGGGGTTTCAAGTGCAGGAAGCAGATGATAGTTACAATCAAGGTCAAAAGGGGAGGCTGTCGGTCATTGTACCAGGCCTGGCGAATCCAAAGACTTCATGTTATTTGCAGGGCTTGAACAGTACATGCTGCTATTTCCTACTCTACCTGAAATGATTACAGTGGTACCTCGGGCTAAGAACTTAATTCGTTCTGGAGGTCTGTTCTTAACCTGAAACTGTGCTTAACCTGTTCTTAACCACTTTAGCTAATGGGGGCCTCCTGTTGCCGCTGCGCCACCGCTGCACGATTTCTGTTCTCATCCTGAAGCAAAGTTCTTAACCTGAGGTAATATTTCTGGGTTAGCGGAGTCTGTAACCTGAAGCGTATGTAACCCGAGGTACCACTGTAATTGGATTCCCATCCCCCTCCAGCCACTGCTATGTTGCAGGACATTGCCTTACTCTTATTCATATGCCACTTCAGAGATACTACTTTATAACTGCTGCAGACGATACCACTTTATAACTCAAGCAGTATAACCTCCAGAACGTATTTTTTTGTCATCTTTAAACCTACTAAACATATGGTATCCATAAGCATAGCACATCTGGCCTGAGCATGCCCTCCACTTTCTGGGATGAAATATACTGCTCCCCGAGACTTTTATGTATAAATATTGGTTTAAAATGTAAAAAGTAAAGAATAAAGAATCTATTTATTGCTTGGGTTCCTGGTTAGAAGTGCATGGGTTTCAATTATAGTCATGTGATTCTGTACCAAAACCCAAAGGCAGGCCAAATGTATTTTGGAAAGGGGAAGGGGTTCATTAGTAAAAAGCAACCCGTGCCAAAGTTTCGTGAAAAAGCAGGATGAAGGTTCATGGACCCCTGGAGGAAACTTGGATTATGTGCATGTTAATGAAAGGGTTCTAATAATCTGTTTGCAGTTGGATTCCTGTCACACACAACGTCATTTACAACAGTCAGTATGTACCCTGAGGATGGAGGCAGGCAATAGTTTTAAGAGGGGTGGAAGTGTTTTGTGATGCATTGGTTCCTGTGGTCTCCACATACATTTCTCTTGCTAGGCCATCACCTCCGGTCAAGCAGCTTCTACACAGGGACAAAAATAGGGTGAGAATACATGGTGTTGGCACCATCTCTTCCGCTCTCAGGGTGGGTGGGTGGGTGGGATTGTGTTTCTCCAGCCTGAGACACCTGTTCTGGGATCCAAATATTTACAGAATGGCTCTGAAACACTGAAATATTGTGAAACCTTTGTGTAAGCAATAAAGGGACCAGGACAGACTGGTCATTTAAGGCCTTTGGCAGAAAGATTTTGGCAGCTAGATAAACTATCCCATGGCAATAGGCTCAGTTGTTAGATGGTTCTTGTTTATGATAGATTGATGGACAATTGGAAAGCAGCGAGCGTTCCTACTGGCTGCCTTTTAGCTGGGTTTGAAAACAAAAATCTTATTGGGATTCAGTTGAATTTTTATCTTACTGGTGATATATAGGCCACATTATTAGAGTTTATGCCTAGCTTTAAATATATTTAATTTCCTACACATATGCAAGCTCCTGCCAGGAATAATCTGTAGGTGGTTTCATTTGCGCAACTGTTAAAAGAAATGGCAGCATTTGATTATGACATTTTTTTTCAGCTGCCCCAAATATCCTGTCCCAGAGCAAAACCGGTCAGTAAATTACTCAAGTTCAAAGCTTGTTATTACAGAAACATGATCTTCACAGACTTGGCTGGGTTTCAGGCCTAATGAGCACAGCAGCAGATAGGTCCGACTCTGTGAAATCAGTTGCTGAGTCTAAAAGCCCCTGCCTCCCCAAACCCTTGTAAGTCCTCCCCTCTCCAGGGCTTCTTCCAAGCAACTGGAAACTGTGCCTGCGTGCCTGTCTTTCCCCCACCCATTTCAGCCCTCTCCTGGTTCTGGGAAGGGAGAGACACCTGTTGCTCTTCACTGGCCTGACTCATCTCTGCCTCTTGGCCTCCCTCCTCCCACCCTCCTGCTTCAGCTTCTACCTCAGACTCCTGACTTTTTCTGCCACAGACTCTCCCAAAGCCCTGTTACCCCTTCAGCTTCTGTCACCTCCTCTTCCCTCTCTTCTCCCTCTGACCACTCACCATCGTTGTCCCACCCCCAATCCCCAGGCTCTGAGCCTTCTTCCCTTGGTGGTTCCCCAGCTGGTTCCTCCCACCATTCCTCTGCATCCAGCCATCCATGGCATATCCCTACTGAGCTAACACCTGGAATTGTGAGCAAACGTTGGAATTCTGAAGCCATAGCTGCTTGCACCAAGTCAGTGTGCACATCAGAGCAGTGGCTTGCTTAACCAGTGCTTGCCCACAACAAGGGTCGGTTTTTATGACCTCTTTGCTACCAGAGAGTTACTGTTTATTTATTTAAGACTGGCCCTCCTCACTTTGCAGGGCATTCTAGAGGATGGATCGTACTGGGCTGGTGTTTCCAATTCCACAGTGGAGGAAGAAGTACAAAGATTTCCAGCTCTTTCCCCGAATAGGCAGAGAGAGGGCCCAGTGCCGTGTGTTTCATTCCGCCCCTTATTAAGGAGTCGGAGGTGGTTCCTGCCCTCAGTGGGATTCCCTTTCCAGGTTCGAGGCCCCCACTCCCCTTTTGCAGATCAGAGAGAAGGCTCTGGGCTTCTGCAAATAAACAGTTGGTGGGACCAGCGAGTTCTGCTTGCGCAGAGTATAGACAGTTGCCTTTTAGAGCTTGGAGCGCAAGAGTCTGAAAAGCCAGGAGGGCCTGGTGCCAGAGGGGAAGTGCAGCAAGGGGTCTTTGGGGAAGATTTATTTTTGGGAACGGAGAGATGTTAAGGGGGCAGAGGTTGATGGATGCTCTCAGCAGCTGAGGATGGAGGTTGCAAGGAAGAGGAGGCCCCCTGCTTTCTTTTTATTGCTCTCTCTGCCGAGCTGGAGCCTTGTTCATGCAGCAAAACAGAGCAGCCTTCAAGCCCTTGATGTAGAAGCAGGGTTTCCATATGCCGAGAGCCCCAGATGTTTCCTTGATGGTTTGAGGCAGCACACGGGGGAGATACCAGAGTGCCGTACATTTCCCAGGCCTGTGCGGTGAGATGCGAAGTGTCCACTTTAATTAATGGGAGTCCCATCTCTCTCCCACTGATTTATCTTAGTAGGGGTCGGCAACCTGTGGCCCATGGGCCACAACCAGCCCACAGGGGTCATTTAAAGGGGCCACGAGCCGACCGCTTGGCGAGTCCCCGTGCACGGCACTAAACTGGTGCAGCGCGGAGCGGTGACTTGCTTTCGTGGCGCTGGAAATCGCGTCTCTGCAGACGGAGCGATCTCCACGGGAGAGAACCGGCCCAGGCGAGGTAAACCTCGCCGACCCCTGGTCTTAGGGTGGGGCTGCATGATATGGGGAAACACAGTTCCCAAATGTTTTTCTCTCCAACTCCCCTAGAAAATTGTTTTTTCTCTCACAGTGGTGGTCTAAAATGGAAAGTTAACCCTTGCATTTGCAAGGACAATTGATGGCATAGGATTGGCAGGAAGGGTAGGGTTAGCAGCCATTCTTCCCTGTCAGTCCTTCTGCTCATACATTTTTTCTCTCGGCAAATGCAGAGAACACACAGTATCCAAGATAAGAGTCTAGTTCCACTGTTAGCTGAATATAGACAATAAATTTACAAATACGATTATTTTAGAACTGTCGTTGCCTGTGATACAAAATGTCCAGATTTTGTGGCCAAGTTCTCTGATCAAGCCAGGTTTGCAAGTTTCCTGTGGAGTTCCAAGCTGTGCCTAAGGAAAAGCTAGAACTATCTCCCAACAGCAGTGCACAGTACTGGAGGTCTGTTCTTAACCTGAAACTGTTCTTAACCTGAAGCACCACTTTAGCTAATGGGGCCTCCTGCTGCCGTCGTGCCGCTACTGCACAATTTCGGTTCTTATCCTGAAGCAAAGTTCTTAATCCGAGGTACTATTTCTGGGTTAGCGGAGTCTGTAACCTGAAGCGTATGTAACCTGAAGCGTATGTAACCCGAGGTACCAATGTACTGCCCGTGGCTATTGCATTGGGTAGTACCTGCAATACCTTCAGCAATGTATGCGAACTCTCCCTCTCCAGCACGTTCTTTATTTCCCTTTGCTGCTTTTAAAAGTTTGCCTTAAAGGCATGAAATGAACTGAATGAAAATCTGCTTTGCCTGTTTCACCACTCCATTAACTTCAATATAATTTTACTTAGTTACATTAAGAAATAATGCAGAATATTTATACTTCGTTATAAGGATAATTCAAAAATGTGTATGGAGAATCTTATGTGTATAAAGTTTCTTTCTTTCTTTTCTGCACCTGCTGAGCTGTTTCGAAACTCCCATTGGCAGAGATGCCATTCTTAAAAAGGAGGTCCGTAGAATCTATGACATAGGTGACTATTTCCTTCCTGCCCCTGATATCTGGGGGAGAAATTTTATTCTTCGCTAAGAGTGAGGAGCAAGCACCCGCACCATGAGAAATGCTTCTGAAATAGAGCCTTAACCTAGCTCCCTTCCCTGCTGCATTCCACTGGCAAGTAAATACATTTTTGTGAAAGGTTTTTTTTAAAAAAGCTTTTGCTGGTGGTTGATGGATGATGCTATCTGGAGGCTAGTTTTATACCAGAAATTAGCTGTCAGGCTTGCTGCTTTCTCTTTTTTTACTGTTGTTTATTATGTGACGGTTGAACTTGCTTTTATTGGATTATTTTTTTTTAAATCGTATTTCATTGTCGCCCAGTGCTTTATGCTTTTGTAATTAGAGTATCTCTCTTTGGGTGCCCATGGGCCATGAATGCAGCTAGCCAATATGATGAATAAATAATCAATTTCTGTTGAGCAACAGGTGGGACTTTCACTTCTACTGCTGCTGTCACTCTAGCCCTTTCCCAGCACTGAAAGCTCCAAGGCGAGGGCCAGCCTTGCTTCCTAGGAAAATATATAGGATTAATTGCCTAGGAACCTGATCTATACCTTTCCTTGTGCCTTTAAACTATGCACCTTTGTCTTACTGCTTGGAGAAAGATGGCCGGTACACATTAAGATTAACTAACAATGCAAACTGCTACATAGCAACCAAGCATTAAATAGCTCAGACATGGTGAGAAGGTGGAGGGGTGAATGTTCGGGGGGGTGGAGGAATAATGAGACTGGCAGTACTCAAAAAGGCAGTTGAGGCAGAGCGGCCAAACTACACAATCAGCAGAACCTTGTTGCAGCTTTAAGGTCATATGTTGGAATGCTCCCCCTATGCCCTCCTGCCCACCCCCCAAAAGCACCCTGCTCAGAAAGAAAGAAAGAAAGAAAGAAAGAAAAGAAAATAATAAATAATAATAATAATAAAAAAATAATAATAATTTATTATTTATACCCCACCCATCTGGCTGAGTTTCCCCAGCCACTCTGGGCAGCTTCCAATCGAGTGTTAAAAACAATACAGTGTTAAATATTAAAAACTTCCCTAAACAGGGCTGCCTTCAGATGTCTTTTAAAGATAAGATAGCTACTTATTTCCTTCACATCTGAAGGGAGGGCGTTCCACAGGGCTGGCGCCACTACTGAGAAGGCCCTCTGTCTGGTTCCCTGTAACCTCACTTCTCGCAATGAGGGAACCTCCAGAAGGCCCTCGGTGCTGGATCTCAGTGTCCGGGCTGAACGATGGGGGTGGAGACGCTCCTTCAGGTATACAGGACCGAGACTGTTTAGGGCTTTAAAGGTCAGCACTAACACTTTGAATTGTGCTTGGAAACGTACTGGGAGCCAATGCAGATCTCTCAGGACCGGTGTTATGTGGTCCCGGCAGCCACTCCCAGTCACAAGAAAGAAAGAAAGAAAGAAAGAAAGAAAGAAAGAAAGAAAGAAAGAAAGAAAGAGTGTTGGGAGAAAAGTCAGGGTAGGCTAGAAGTTCTCTTCTTGATATGCAATATTTTTAAATGCATAAATATAATACACATAGAGAAAGAGAGGGAAAGAGAGAGTGTGTTCAGATACGCAGTTCCCCCATTTACAGTTTGCAATGGTGCCAGCCAGTACTGGATCACATTGCTTGGCACAGAATCTCAGGAAGGAAAGCTCAGACAACTGTGGGTGCTTCCAGATGGCTTTTTAATATGCAATCTGGTCACTGAGAATATTGCAAATGGATAGTTGGCTGTTTGTTTGTTTTTTTATCTGATTGGAGCTGTCCTGGAAAGCAAATACGAAGACTGAATTGTGGGTGGGGAGGGGAAAATACATCATGCGGATCCTGCAAAAAACAACAACAACCCCCACTTGCATTGATAAGTACCAATCCCATAATAAGCACCCCATGTGGAAGCACCTGCTTCTTTCTCTGCTGATCACTTGAGGTAAAGGGAAGTTTCACAAATCCTGTGCACACTCTCCATCATGAAGTGCCACCTGGGAGGAACTCTGGGTCTTTGCTTGGGTTGTACCAAGGGATGGAGGAGCTGTGCTAGGATGCTGCCCTACCACTCTAGTTAGAACCATGAGACAGAAATTGGCAGCATCCTAAATTTAAGCCAGGAAAGGCGCAAGGGACAGGATGAAGCCAGGCGAATGTAGGTGTGAGCCAGGAGCTTTAGGGGGATGTGAGAGGCCAGGTGACACAGCCACCAGGGAGATATGTTCCCCCATTGACATGGGAGGGTGGTGCGTACCTCCAGGAGGCAACACCACAGCCCCAACCTTCTTGCGGCTACCCTGTTTCCCCCTGGAGGTGGGCAGGGACCTTGGTGACTCACATCCTTTGGAAGCAATCCTGCACTGGATGAATCTCCTCCGTCGGCAGAGCCAAGAACAGCGGTCTAATGCCCATGAAGTCCAGATAGAACCAATTTGAAAGTGCATGAATTTTGCATGAAGTTCAGACATGCTCCTAAGCACACAGTATACTTATTGACACGTGCAATTTCTCTCAAATTCTCTCTCTCTGCAGGGCATCCTAATGCTAGACGATGCTTTCCAGATAGCTGAAGAACAACGGGGAAGTTTGAAGAAGGTCCCTTTACCCCCTTCTCCTCAAAGGGGAAAGGCCTTTTTTGGGCAAGTCATTGAACACAACACTCTCTCTCTCCATGGATAAAGGGCACACGTTACCTCAAGACTTCTGGGAGCTGCTGCATTGCCTGAGGATGAGGAGCAAATACGCCATCCTCCTGGTGTTTGTGGTAGCCCTTGTCATTATTGAGAAGGAGAACAACATCATCTCAAGGTAGGAGGGGGAAAGGAGAGCTGTGCTGGAAGAGAGGCTTTCTCTGTACCCTAGCGTAGCCTTCAGGCTGCAGCTATATCTTACCACCTTTGCAGGTCCCAACTTGCTACCACCATCTCTCCGGCCTTTTGGAACAAGGTAAATATTTCTTGCCTCCCAGTGTGAATTAAGCTACCTCTTTACCCAGGAATGCAGGCAGGTTGCTCTTTTAAACATCATGCCCCACACAGGGATGGGAGGCAGCAATGGATGGTTGGAATTGGTTTCATACAAATTGATTTGATTTGATATATATAAAGAAGAGCCTTCTAGCAGAATCCGCCTAGAAAGGGGCAAGAGGGAATTTCACGAAGCGCACCTTTTCTCCCTCTTGCTTGACAAGCTGCAGCTGAACAGCTTTTAAAGGTATAGATAGGATCCCAGTCCTCACAGAAACATAGAAAACTGCCTTATATTGAGTGAGGCCACTGGGCTCATCCAGATTAGTGTTGTCTACATGGACTGGCGGGACGCGGGTGGTGCTGTGGGCTAAACCACAGAGCCTAGGACTTGCTGATCAGAAGGTCAGCAGTTCGAATCCCCACGACGGGGTGAGCTCCCGTTGCTCGGTCCCTGCTCCTGCCAACCTAGCAGTTTGAAAGCACGTTGAAGTGCAAGTAGATAAATAGGTACCGCTCTGGCGGGAAGGTAAACGGTGTTTTCGTGCGCTGCTCTGGTTCGCCAGAAGCGGCTTAGTCATGCTGGCCACATGACCCAGAAGCTGTACGCCAGCTCCCTTGGCCAATAAAGCGAGATGAGCGCCATAACCCCAGAGTCGGTCACGACCAGACCTAATGGTCAGGGGTCCCTTTACATGGACTGACAGAGTTTCACACAGGGCTCTCTCCATCCCTGCCTGGAACCTGGGGCTGTCTAAATGCAAAGCAAAGCAAAGTTACGGCCCTTCCCTTTCCTCCCCCCCTCCGGGTCATCCTGCTTGTGTCAAAAGCCATCTTAGACAGTGGTTATTACACTTTCCATAGACCACTAATAATTGACACTTCCGAGTGCTTATACAAGCATGGTAGTTAACTACCGTGGTACATAGACAAGCATTTCTATTCTCAAACACTCCCTTTTGCTACCAGGTAACCTATAACAGAAGATCACTATTGCCCGGGCTGGCTTTATGGCAAGTTGCAATGGCAGGGCAACAGCCTCTGGTGGCAAATTGCGAATGGCTGGTTGGTTGTGCTGCCACTTGTCCTTGCCACTTGTGTTGACTTTGCCGAAGAGATACATACACACAGACTATGCTTTTGGACTAACTGAGGCACCGATTTGCAAATAGTGTTCTGGGGGATATAGGGATTCCTTAGAAGGTTTATCAGGGGTTCAGTCAGAATATTAGAATTAGCAGGTAAGCATCCTGCTATGAAACTTTTCTTCACCCCAGGCAAGCAAGCCCAAGACATTTTGGTGCCTAATGTCGTCTCTACCCCAGGCCTTTGGCAAGTTGTTGAGAACCAGCGGCTATACTTGATTTATTAAGGCCTGGAATAACCTTTGAAACATTGCATGTTTAATATTGCTGCTGCTATTCGTTAGGGTAACTTTTGTTCTCTTTCTTCACAGGGTGTCCGACAAACTAAAGCAGTCTCCGCAGTCCTTGATGGAAGCCAACAGCACGGACTCTGGCTCGGTGCTGCCAGAGAATGGCTCCCTGCTGTCCTTAAGCGAGCTGGATGCGGCTTTCTCCCAGCTCAGGAACCGCCTTCAGAATGTCACTTTGCAGCTCGGGGGGACTTTGCCAGCGCCTGTTCAGGGAACCCGGAGACACATTCTTCTCATGGCCACCACCCGCACCGGCTCCTCCTTCGTGGGGGAATTCTTCAACCAACAGGGCAACATCTTCTACCTCTTTGAGCCGCTGTGGCACATTGAAAGGACCGTGTCCTTCGAGACCGGAGGCGCCAACGCCGTGGGCTCAGCCCTTGTCTACCGGGACGTCTTGAAGCAGCTCTTCCTCTGCGACCTCTACATCTTGGAGAACTTCATCATCCCATTCCCGGAGGACCACCTGACCCAGTTCCTGTTCCGGCGTGGCTCCAGCCGCTCCCTGTGCGAGGAGCCCGTCTGCACGCCGTTCGTCAAGAAGGTCTTTGAGAAGTACCACTGCAAGAACCGTCGCTGCGGCCCCCTCAACGTGACCCTGGCTACGGAGGCCTGCCGCCGGAAGGAGCACATGGCGCTGAAGGTGGTGCGGATCCGGCAGCTGGAATACTTGCGCCCGCTCGTCGAGGACCCTCGCTTGGACATGAGGATCATTCAGCTGGTGAGGGACCCCCGGGCGGTGCTGGCTTCCCGCATGGTCGCTTTCTCCGGGAAGTACGAGACGTGGAAGAAGTGGGCCACGGAAGGCGCGGCGACCCTCAACGAGGACGAGGTGCAGCGGCTGCGGGGGAATTGCGAGAGCATCCGGCTCTCGGCGGAGCTCGGCTTGAGGCAGCCAGCCTGGCTCCGCGGCCGCTACATGCTGGTTCGCTACGAGGACATTGCCAGGTCGCCCCTCCAGAAGGCCAAGGAGATGTACCAATTCTCGGGCGTCGCCATCACCCCGCAGGTAGAGGAGTGGATCCGGAAGAACACCCAGGCACCTCACAACAGCAACGACATCTACTCCACCCAGAAAAACTCCTCCGAGCAGTTCGAGAAGTGGCGCTTCAGCATCCCTTTCAAGCTCGCCCAGGTGGTGCAGAACGTCTGCAGCCCGGCCATGAAACTCTTCGGCTACAAGCTGGCCGGCAGCCCTGAGGCCCTTACGAACAGATCGGTCAGCTTGCTGGAGGAGAGGAGGACCTTTTGGGTCACGTAAAGGCGCCACTTTGCCGGTGGATTTTTCCGCATCATAGATTTCTTGTCAGATTGGAAAAGCTGGAGCGCAAGAATTGTTGGAGGGGAAGCAGCGTGTAGCACAAAGGGTGGAGAGGGGGGACGCCTTCGGCTAGCCTGCTTTGTGCTTCTGCTTACCTTGCGCTCGCCGTCCTCGCACCGAGGTGCTTTCTGCTTTTTCTGGGAGCAGGCGTCACCTGCCTTTCAAATCCCAGGCCCCTTGATGGATTTGTGAGGTGGCTGAGCTCAATACGAAGGAGAGTTCAGAAGCTGGCACAGGCTGGAGCGTGAAGCGCTGGGTTCTGCTTTCCCTACCTCATGTTCACATCCTCCTCAGCAGAGGAGGGCCTTTCTCTTAATGCCTGGGGCATTTGTTCACTAAACACCCAAAGAGAGAAAATATTCTATTTTTGAAAGTTATTAAAAAGGAAGAAGAAAAAGTAAAGAAATTGCTTTCACATCCTGCTGGGGAGATGTAAGAAAAGCAGAGTTGTTGCACTGGTAATCGCCTCAGGCAGCCTTAAATTTAGGGCTGATATTTGCGAGAGGGTGTGAAAGAGAGGAAAGAAACTTGTTCATCCTTTTGACAAGAGGGTGTTTTGAAGGTTTCCTACTTGAGACCCTCAGATAAATTAATGCCTTGTTTAAACTTGAGGAGATGCATTTGGATCACACCAGTCACCGGCGGGGGGGGGGGGGGGAAACGACTGGCTCTACCGACAGTAATGAGAGGATTTTGCCCTACACCACGGACAGTTTCATGTGCTTGCTGCCTTTTGTCTTGCTTTGCACCTAAGCCCTTGGAAGAGAGACAGAAAGCAGGCTATGAAAACAACATTCGACGGGAGAAGAGAGGAAGAATGGAATAGCATTCAGCCTGTGTCCCTGAGGATCAAGCTTCCTCAGTGCCATCAGCTGTTTTGGTCTCCGATAGTCTATTTTTGAAAACAAACACCTGCCGTCTGGTTTTCTCACTTGTCACTGAATCAATTGTTACTGAATCTCATCCAGCCGACTGGAGGCGGCTAGAAACAATAGCTGCTTTCTTGTGAGGTGACAGAAGGCTGTGGCTTTAACTGTGTTTCCCACCCTGATTGCTCCTCCTTACCTCCAATAATTGTTTTTGTGTCCTTTTCAAGTGCTGGTTGGAAACTGCCAATAGTTCTTTCTCTGCAATTTCAGAGTGGGGGGTTGTTTTGTACAGAGCAGGCTTGCCGAAACACAGAGGGGACGAAGCAACAGGCTATTGGAGCTGGTTCAGTGATAGGAAATGGAAATGGTTTCTGCAACAGCATGAAACAAGATCTCTGAGAGCTGTCAATAAGTTCCTCTTATTCCTTTCTGGTTGTGGGTTCACATTTTCGTTGCTTTGCTTCAAGTGAATGTAACCATGTAAGGAACCACCCAATGAATTTTTAGCACATGTCAGCCCCTGCTATTAAACTGAAGCACTTATTAGCTTACTTGCCCTGCCTGGACTGAGCATCCAAGGTGGAAATACTGAGCTTATTCCAGATGAGCATATATATATGCCAGAGGGGAAGCTGTGGTAGGAAAAACAACAAGGGGCCTTGCCTTGTGTCACTATGAATACAAAAGGATGTAATATAATAGCATATACCAAGAGTAGCAGGAGATATGTCACATTTCTGAGTGGAGATAGGTATAAGACTCTGATCCATTCTTCACAGTTGTCACAGTTCTTTCTTGCAATGCTAATTTAACACCTTAAAAAAGAAACAATTACTTTCTGTAATAGGTAAAATATCTCCAATCTCAATTAGCTGAGATGTCTATGGAGTCAAATATTATTAGAACCTTCATTTCCTTTTGTTTCTTTCTTTTAACAAATGCCATTCAGCCAGAAGCTGTTAATGCTTACAGCATTTAAGACCATTGCTTTATTTTTTTTGGGGGGGGGGGAAATGGGGAGAGAATTGCCGAATAAGTAACTGCATTTTACTTTAATCTGCTCAGAATAGAACTGTATGCATCACGGTCCTATTTTCCTGACATGAAGTGAGTGATCAGGGAATGAAAAGAGGATTTTTGCACAGCTGCGGGGAAAAAATATCATCTCTCCACCCCACCCAGAAAAAACAGTTGATTATCTAAACAGAAAATTTATACCTTGGTGTAGTAGAAGATAAAAAGAAAGAGTATGCCGCTGAACAGAAGGTTAAGAAAAATGCTTCTGGGTTGCCATTAACTCTTTCCAAAATGTCTTCCAAAGTTCCAAAGCTAGGTTTTCCACAGAAAGCATCACAGAGGAAGTGGGTGTTCACATCAGCTAATTTTCACCCAGTTGGATGACTTCACACACTCAAGATTACTAGCACCAGTCACCTGTACAGCAAATGAGCACAAATTATTCTTTCCCCTCCACCCTTATTAACCTGTCTTCGGTGGAGATAATTTGCCTGACTGATAAGTGGTGACTGATCCTCGCTGTCTCACAGATTAAGCGATCAGCCGAGTTACCAAATGATGCCTATGATGTGTGAAATTTCCCTCAGTCGTAATTCAGGGAAGCCTTTAAACAAGGGTTGTGCATTCATTTCCAGTCCAGGACAGCACCATGGGCAAAGGAGATGGATGTGGGCACAGTCCGCATGGATCTGGAGTTCTTCTGCACACAACAGGCATTGAGAGCACCTGCCCCACGGTTGAAGGGAACCCTCTTGTCTATGGTGGGGAAGGGGTGGTTCTTAGACGCAAGCAAAATTCTCTTTTGGGGGTCACTGTAGGGAAATGCTCATGCTCTGTTGCAGTGTTTCCCAAACTTGGGTCTCTGGCTGTTTTTGGACTACAATTCCCATCATCCTTGACCACTGGTCCTGTTAGCTAGGGATGATGGGAGTCGTAGTCCAAAAACAGCCAGAGACCCAAGTTTGGGACACGCTACTCTTGTATAACTTGGCATAGAGTGAAACGGAGTCCTGCTGAATGGTGCGCATTGATGTATGTATGTAAAACACTTTTTTGGGATCACTCAAAAGCTCCATTGATACACGTTCATATGTTTTGGACAACCAACTCCCATCGGCCCCAACCAGCACGGCTGCTGTAGCCCAAAATGTCTGAAGGCACCAGACTGGTGAAACTTGGTCTAGAGCAGGGTGGTTGCATCCACAGCTGCAATATCCACTCACATGGCGGCTCAGGTGAATTCTGGGTTTAGGTACTAGCAGATATTGTTAGTGTGGTGTGGAGCCACACAATCTGCCCAAATCACGTGGTTAGAGGTTATGGACACAGGAGACAGCGTGATATGGCACATGCTACAAAATGTATAAATGAGGCTTAAATGTCAGTTTCTACACAGAATAAATATTGATGAAAAGCTACCTGTGCCATTGTCATAACGTTAGGGCACGGGCTTGCTTTTTGCCCTGGTTGGGAAGCTGCATACAGGTGGCAAAGCAAACACTTCTACTGACTTTGCACCAAATGGTGCAAATTCTTCTCCCTGCAAGGTGGACATCTCAGTGGAGGCAGAATGCTACCTATGAAACAGTCTTAAGCAGGACGAGGGTCAGATGCAGCGTAGCTTGCTCCCTCTCTTGAATATTACTAGAAGGAAGCATGACCCAAACATGGCCTCTTCCAAAGGACACAGTACAGAGGTGTTGGGATAGCTATGAGAACTTTCTGTCTATGAAAAACAATATGGACAGTCTTTACTTCCGAATCTCAAGATATCCAGTCCACAGGCAGGTAGGATACTTCAACAGCCCCCATGCCCATTGGAAATTATTCTGGTTTATGGAAAGTTTCAGCCAGCACTGTGTTCACTATGTGTTGCTTCTGCTGTTGCTTAATTTTAATTGTGCTTTCACATTCTGTTGTGTTGTTGTTTTCAAAAAAAGAGTAAAGTACAACTGTGGCTTTGGTGAAAAGCAGCCATAATTTCTTTACATCTACAAAATGGTTCTAGTTTTGTATGTTTTCTGTCTGTCTTTAGCTGTAAAATGTGCAGTGGGTTTGTTTATTTATTTATTGTATGGGCGGGGAGGGGAAGTTGAAAAATAACTTTATTAGCAGAAATTGGGACTGCACCAAAAGAAAAACAGACTCGGAAATGTTTCCCAATAAATAGAAATGCAATTAAATTAAGAGTAGCTCTGGTTAAAATAAAACATGTCTTTTTTCCCTTCGTGCTTTTTTTTGCAAGAATCTTTTATGGGAGAGAAGGGTTCTATTTAAAGGAAAGAACTGGGCAGGAAACAATTACATTTTATTCTCCCTCTGTAATCTCAGAGCTGCAAATAGCTCTAACTATCTTAGAAACGATAAGGAGAGCCATTTGTTCTTTTAACAATGTGTTCTGTATCCTCAGCTCAACGGAATTCTTCCTATTGCACTGCAAGAGGTGCATTTATTTATTTATTTGCCAATGAAAAGGTGGTGTGTGTGTTTGAGGAGGGGGACATGGTTGCAGTCGCATAAGAAGAGGCTTCACAGTGTGATGGCATACAGACGTTTTCTTTAAGATCTTAAAATGAAAAAGAAAAGTATTGCATACAGTTTTATCACACCGGAAAATGCAGGGGAGACATAATCCATTGCCCAGTAATGCTATACCAATAATTTTAGCCAATGGGGCTTAAGTGTGCCTGAATGGGTGCTGGATTGCAGTCATTAGCCGCATTTATACTTTACAGATCACAGGTGACTGGCAAGTCTAGAATCAAGCTATCCTTTAAATATATTCGCGGAAAGCAAAACAGGTATGTCTGTCATGCTGCAGCCCAGACAACCTACTTCATCATTTAAACGTTTTATGTCACAGCGACATTGCCAAACTCGCTTCTGCAAGGTGGAGAAGCGGGCAAGACTTTGCTTTTGCCCCATAGGAGGAGCGAGGAGCAACTTGGTGTAGGAAGGGCGATGCCGTGGCAGCAACCTCATCTGGTTGAAGGTAAAGGCAAGATTTCTGGACTGCAGCCTGGCCAACCCTATATCAAATATGGGGTTCATTCCCCCAGAGAGCCCCTGCTCTTGCACTTTGGCAGCTGAGAAAGCTCCCTGTTTTGTAAGGCTGCGGACATTTTTATATAGATACTTATTTTAATTTATATTGACATGGTGCAAGCATATGGAGATGCTTAGTTAAGCACAGTGTCTGCCAGTCTTGCTGTATCCACTGGGGGATAAGAGTCCAGGCCAAAAGTGGGAGTCCAGAATCACTGGTAGGAGCAGACCCAGGAATAGGAGGGGGTGTAATTCTTTGGCAGCTCTCAGGACATCACACAGAAAGGCTCCCGACTCCAGCTAGCCTGGGGATAGACACAGAGAGGCAATTTTCTCCTAAGCCAATCATTTGACCTTCCTGAGCACAAGGGCGTCATTCAGTGCTGGTATATTTATTTAAGGAAGGGTGGGTGGTTGGTGGGGTGGTTTTTTTTGGAAACTTGATGAACACATCTTCAGTCTGTGAGAGAGTGAGACAGGCTTTGACCTTCTGGGTATTTTGACTTGCTAGATTATAGAAAAATCAGGTTTCCAACAGCACAGCCTCGCACCCCCCTCGTGTCTTCTGTCAAGATTCAATCAGCATGCTGTCTTCACTTCCATCTGTGCTGTAAAAGGATGCAGTTGGCCCAGGAGAATGGCGCATAAGCCCAGTTACAGGCTTCCTTTGCTGTGTGGCCTCCTGACCCCCTGTTGCCTTGGGGCAGTGCAAAGCAGCTCCTATCAGCCGTCAGGTTCACTTTGCAAAGAACAATTTTTGGCACACAAAGCGTCCTACAAGGGTAAGGTTATTGGTTCGGGAGTCTTCGAAACAGAAAAGTCAGCAACAACTATTTTTATTTGTTTGATTTCTATACTGCTTTGTATTTTAAAGAAAGAAACCCTCAAAGCAGTTTACAACACATTAAAACAAACCAGAATAAAACAAATTAACACTTCAAGGAAAATATTCCAGATCCAAGTGACATTTTGCTTTCCCCATATTTATTTGCCTACGTAATTTATGTAGCTGCCCCATAGCAGAAGTACTCTAGGAAGCCGGTGTGGTGTAGTGGTTAGAGTGTTGGACTAGGACCTGGGAGATCAGAATTCAAATCCCCACTCAGTCATGAAGCTCACTGGGTGACCTTGAGCCAGTCGCAGCCTCTTAAACTACCTCACAGGGTCGTTGTAGGGATTAACTGAGAAGAGGGGTGAACCATGTACTCCGTAAATAAAGCTCTTCTGCTTACCTGCTTAAGGAAGCTGGAGGGAGCAGCCAGATGGAGATGCCCATAGCCAACCTGGCATGCAGAGACCTCCACGTGGTTGCAGTTGGACCCATGTCAGATGCAAAACACCCCTGGGGAATTTCTAACACTGGGCTTGTCATTGCACTAAGTTAAAGTTATTTATAACCCACCTTTTCCCCAGTCTGGGACTCAAGGCAGCTTACACCAGGGAAAAAATAGAAGAAACTAAAACATAGAAAAGGCAGTCATTAAAACGTAATTAACAAAAACAAAATTAGTGCATAAACAAAAAGAAAAGAAAATCCAGCCGCAAAGAAAAAAAACGAGAAACAGAAAAACAAAAATATAAAGTCGTTTACAATCTCTATTGACTTCCTTTCTAGACTTCCTCCTCCCCCCTCTTTTGTTTCTTAATTTTTAATTTTTACAGCAAATCCTTTCTGTTTTTTCATAACAATCTGTCATTACGTTTCCTTATTCTATTTTCCCTCTTGTCATATAAAAACTTTAAAACTCATAGCTTATATTCAATATTTACCAAATTCTTGCATCATTACCTTTTTACGAATCATTTACCAATCCTTACTTAAGTCATGTAATTTCATTCAACATCCTTCAAACATTTGTAAGCATTCCCAATATTAAAAAGTAAAAAGAAAAAATAATAAGTCAAATTCAGTCCAGTCAGCTTCCAACCTCCCTCCCCTGGACCCGGGATTGTCAGTCCTTTTAACCTCGGTAATCCGGCTCCTTAACCTGGTTGTCTCGTATCCGAGGCCCTCAAGTCTCTTTCTTGCCCCTTTCGCCACTCTTGTTGATGATTCCTTTCCAGTCGTGGATGCTCCAGCAAGAAAATGCTTTTGACCCTTTGCAACAAGTCCATCCTAAACCCATTGCCCAAGCCAGACAGCAAATAATACCACTTCAAATTTCCACAAAGCTTGGAGACTTCGGCTACTCCAATCCTCTGATAGCCCATCACCAGACTCGGAAGGTCCAAATAACCATATGGAGGGGGTCGATCCATCCCCCATTTCCAAATCTGACCACATTTCATCTTTCCGAATCTGGTTTGTCCTAAGTTCATTTATCAAGTTCAAAGGCTGATCTTGCCCGTCCAAAGGTCCCTCCATCTCTGAAGCCTCCGTCACTACAGCAGGTACATATGCTTGTATAGCCTTTTAACTGAATTTCATTTGTTTGCTGCTGTGCTCTGGTAACTTCCATCCTCAAGGTCATCTCCTGACGCATCTGGTCCAGCTGGGCACTTATGTAATTAAATGCAACTAAATGTTCATGTAGTAACACAGAAAAAAATGAGTTTGGAGTGGAGCCATCGGAGTTCCTTAGGTATCCCTATGGTTGTCCTGCGAAACATTTTCAAAAAGGCAGTAGCTACCAATGTTAAAAGAAGCCCGTAGTGGCACTGCACCTCTGATTATAAAGCCTGTTGCCCTACTTCTGGCCTCTGCTTCTGTGTGAAAGGAAAAAGTGGTGCATGCTGTAGTTGAGTGCATTTTCCCACATGTGCACAGGATACAAGCAAGATACTGCCCTGAGACAATTGGATTTGGTATTGCTTACTCACCTAATGGCCTAAAATTCTGCAGCTCCGCCACCCTGCCCCATCCAACTTGCCTCAGAGACAGAACTGCAGACGTGTATCAAGCCAAAAAGTTTAGCATTTCCAGCTGCTCTCAGCCTTCCAAGGCTGTTGAGAGAGCTGCTCTCTCCTACTTTTATCTGTTTTTCCATCTCTTGTTTTCTCGTTTATCCTGGGCCGTGCTTTAACTCAAGCGGAAGAATCATCTGTCCGTCACGTCCCCCTTTTAAACCCCATCTTCGAATGGACAATATCATTCTGCCAGAAACAGCTGTTTTAGTTTGTTTAAAACCAAAACATCAGTATACAAGATTCAAGGCAGGCCCTGTATCTTCAAACTGAAGGGGTTCACATGGGTGGGAGGAATCTGTGAGGAAGGAGGCCAGGAAGAACAGCTGTGTTACATGGTAGGAATACGTGCTTCCCGTATCTGCAAGAGGAGAGCAGTTCAGAGGTTCAGAGAATGCCCTCCCCTCTGTTTATTTACCTGTACACAGAGATGTCTGTGTTACGAGCTAGGAGCTCTCCCAAAAATAGTGAAACCAATACTGGCCCTATGTGCTGTGATGGAGGTTTTTAGCTGGAGAGCTTTGCCTGGTGCTTAAAACTTGTTTTGGTCCCTGGCCTGCTAAGGTAGTGCCTGCTTGGACGGAGACATGTTGGGGGGATGTTTCATGCTCCTTCAAGGAGTGGGGAAACTCAAGGCGGCTGTAACGTGAAGGGCGTCTATATGGTGGCCCGTTTACAAACGAATGATTAAGAAGGCATTACAGGGGTGCAGACACAAGCACACAGGCAGGGTTTTCCCACAAAGAGATGCCTGTTCGGCCCCCTTAAAACCCAGGCTGCTGCTTTTTTATTTTATTTTTTGACAGGCCTTGCAGAAGCTCTTCCAGACAAAGCTGGTTCTAACGCACAACCTAGCAGGAAGCTCTGACTCATTTGCAAGCTGCTTGGAAGAGACATCAACCATAACTGTGGCTACAAAACCGTCCTAATTTTTGTACGCCTTTGTTTTTGTTTGCAATTTCCCCTCATCCCTCCTCACTCCCTGTTTCCTGCAATATACCGCCTGATTAAGAGGTCTGGGAAAGCTCAATGGCTTGCCACATTTTTGGGACAGTTCAGTTGGTTCCAACGTAGTAGTAGTAGTAATAATAATAATAATAATGTTTTTATTTATATCCCGCCCTCCCCAGCTGAAGCCAGGCTCAGGGCAGCTAACAACAATAAAATAATACAACATTATAAAATCATTTCATTAAAATTAATTCAACTCAAATTGCTTCTTCCTCTTTGCTTCTTCTCAGGGGACCGGGGGGGGGGGGGAGTCAGTTGACCATTGGTGGCCTTGTCCCCCTCTAATAACCTGCCACATCAAAGCCCAAAGGTAGATCCTATAGCACAATAACAGTGCCTAGCTGCCTTGATAGGTTTTATTGTCAAGCAGAGAACTGCTGCACATTTAAAACAACAACAACAACCACCCAAGGCTGTGGCCCCGTCAGAAGATCTGTTTTTGCTCTTAAATAAAAAGAAATGCATAATTCTGCTATTCTAAACTGACATCTGTCTGGCACTTTTGTCTGGCAGTGGGAGATGGCGGCTGAAGATGCGCCAGCTGCTGAGACTGCCAGCTTAAGTAACCACAAGTGTTGACATGTCCTAAGGTGCTCAGGAAAATAAAAATAAATGTGGGGTCTAGGAGACAAAGCAAAGCAGAAAGCACCCTCCTGTAAAGCTTTTTAACAAGCTCCGAACAGGAGGCAATGGTATGCTCTCACATTTCCTCATCTGCTGTGTTGGTTGCTCACCTCCCCAATCCTCACCCGTTGCTTTCCATTCTCCCGATTCATAGAGAGACAGTGAAAGGAGGAGGAGGAATAAAATTTGAACTCAATTTACTGAAAGGGAGGAGGCAGCTTCAGTCAGCCAAGAAGCGCAGCCCTCCCCTACCCCAGATGCATGAAGTCTGAGTGCAGTGGTTTCGTGGCAAATCGGTACTCTGCACATGTTCAGAGGCATTACTGTCGTAGCCTGCCGCAGATGCCAGCCATGTAAATACATTTGATATCCAACTGCACATTTCCTGGGATTCTATAGCAAGCCACGATGCGTACCATAGGCTACATTAGCGCGGAAAGTATAAACTATCAAGGCACACAAAATCATGTTTGCACGCTTCTTGTATCCCTTCCCGCCATCTATTTTTAGCAGTGTTGACTGCAAAGGAAATGGGGAAAAACACACACACCAGACAGTTAACTTTTCTTCTGTGTCCCCTCCAGGAGTAGCAAACAAATTGCCCACCACATGCTCACTGCAAAAGAGGAAGTCTCCTAAAGTGATTCTTCTGTGATACATTATCAGACAGATGGTCTTAGGAGGATGAGAGAGAGAGGTATGCAATCTTTGCAATTATGGGGGGAGAGTATGTAAGCTTTGCCGGTTTCACAGAAATCCTTAACTGGGGGTGAGAGGGATAGAATCCAGGTTTTTTGGATACCAGCCGATCTAGCAAGAAGTGTGAAGCCGATTCTGTAGCGTCAAAAAGCATTTGCATCTAGCCCTGTATCTCCTCCTCTGGTGGCAGTGACTCCCCCCAAGATCTCTCACAGAGGCCTTTGCCAAGCCCTGTTATCGGAGAGATAACTGGAGAGTGAACTTGAGACCTGCATACCAAGCTTATGCTCAGCCACTGGGATGTGGTCTTCCTCCATGTGTGGAGTCGGCCTCATGGGGAACAGCCAGTATGGCATACTGAGTAATGAAATGGGCTCCTGCTGCTGCTGTAGCCCCAACTAGGTGATGCCACTGCTACTGCTATGTCTGACGCGGGTAAGCTTTTTGCTACACCATCTGCAAAGGAAAATCCTAGAGTGCCTTGGCAATTTATTAAAAAAAAACACCTGACCATGAAGGCAATTTAATGTTTAATTTAAGATCCTAAGAGTTGGAAGGGACCCCGAGGATCATGTACGGTAACTCACCCCCCCCCCCGCTTTGCATGAATATGCAGCTGGGATTGAACCTGTGACCTTGGCGTTATCAGCACCACGCTCTAACCAACTGAGCTAATAGATTGCTTTAATTAGACAGTTGTTTTAGCAGGCAGCTTATGAGTGGCCTTATAAAAGGCTGGATAGCTCGGTTGATTAGCATATGATGCTGATAACGCCAAGGTTGCAGGTTTGATCCCCGTACAGGACAGCTGCATATTCCTGCATTGCAGCGGGTTGGACTAGCTGACCCTCAGGGGTCCCTTCCAACTCTGCAATTCTATGATTCTATGAAAAGGTCAGAGCTTCCTTTCCTGGTAGGATAGAGATAGATAGATAGATAGATAGATAGATAGATAGATAGATAGATGATAGATAAGACACACACTGAAACCATGTGTCTATGGGCATGTGTGTTCAAATTGCCTTCAGTAGGGTTTTTATTTAGAGATCTAAACATCTTAGTAGCATTTTTGAGCTTGTAATAGAAAATATCCCTTGTAGGAAAATGCCATGCATTTTTTCCTAGCTTCACATTTGAAAAGAGGGTTCGGCGTTTCTCTCGCTCCCCCTCCCAACCGCTGTAATTCCCACCGCGGGCAACAAAAGCTGTGGATTTCATTCAGCTCTATTAATATCCTCTCCATCAGTCTGGCTTTTGAAGCCAGGCTCAAAATTAGTTGGAGGCCGGCTGGAAATAGCAGCCCGTTTGCACTCTTGTCTCCTTCCGTCCCCTTTCCCATGCCACCCCTGCCCTATTAATAGCCTGCCCTATTAAGTGCAACCCGGCCATTTATTCACTCAGTAAACAAATAGTAAAATGTCAACATGACGGGAATACACAAGAAGAGGGATGAGGAAGGGGTGGCAGGGGGAGGGAAGAGTTAAGTTGCAGGAGCAGGTCTTCTCCTTCACTGGCACAGGGGGCCAAAGGGTGGTGGCATCACCAAGCGCTGCCTCCTTTGTGGGAGAGAGAGTTGCCCTAGGGAAGCCAGGGCAGCAGGCAAGCATCCTCTTGCCATACCAGCCGGGGCTCCGAGGGGCCACTGGGAGCTTGCACCCCTGCCTCCCAGGAAGGCCATCCTACCCTCGTCCTCCTGCCAGAGAAAGGGAAACTGCAGGGGATGTTGCTTCTCGCCTCCCTGTTGAGGAAGAAATATTATTTCCACTTGCACAGCTGAAGGGAATCTGCACACTACGGCTTCAGTCAGCAGTCAGGGTCTTAAGGGTGGCGTGCGTGCAAAGTGCAAGTTTTGGACCTCTTTTTTTAAAGTTATCACTTGTAAGCTGAGAATATTTGATAGAAAAGCAGGGTATCATGTCGTTGGCAACCGTCTGCCTCAAGAAGGAATGGAGTGCGCCTCCAGGGCCGAAGTCTGACAACTGAGTTAGCAGCAGCAAATTGACCTCTCTGGGGTGCAAGCCTGGGTAGTGTGTATGGAAGTCTTTGGCTACCCAGATGACGAGACTCCCCCACCCCGCTTTGGCTTTGCTGATGTGGCCCAAAGGAAAGTAGAGCAATTATGTTTGACACCAGCTTGGCTGCAGGAGTTGCCGGAAGGAGGCAAACAAGGCGCCATCCAACAGTCTTAGGGACTCCACTCTGGATTTGCATAGGGTTTACTCCTTAGCCTTTTCTTTTCCTGAAGATATCTTGCAAGGCAGCGGAGGTTTAGGATCAGTCTTCTTTTTCTTGGATGGGCTACTTTCCCAAATGGATGAGCCCTCCTGCCCCCCCTTTCTTCCACAGCATGTGCAGAAACCGCCTTCTTGACTGTTGGGCTAAATAATTAAATAGATGTTGCTATGAGGATCAGCAGCTGGAGACTCCAGGGCTTTATCTGGCCACACACTGAGCTGGCTCCCTAGGTGTGCGCCAGTCCCCTCTCACTTAAAACTCGATGTCAACACACACTACTGTGTGCATTCAGTGTTCAACTCACAGTCACCCCAATGTGCACATGGGGTTGTGAGTATACCGCAAGTTTCAAAATAATAAATTGGGCTGTACCTTCCAAAAGTAACTAGCGTACTCGGTGGGGTTCACATGTTATCTATTTATCCAGGAGAACCTATAATTATGATCGTTGCTGAGAATCACGTCCAGCCACTAGCTCTTCCTGCTGCAAGCTGACCCTGTGGGGTGTTCTAAATGGGAGCATTGAAACGGCAGGCTCTGAGGAAGAAACAGCCTTGCCTTGTGACTCAAAACACTTCCAGACATTCGCCGGCTTGTTTAAACTAAGAACAAATACCTCCATTCGGGGGGAAAGACAGGCTAGCATGCAGGACTGTTAAAAAGCGACTTGGCGCTTGTTTAGGAAATGCTTTTCACCTTCCATGTCACCCTGACTTCCAGTGGGGACATAAGCAAAAACATACCCAAGACTTTTCTCTTTGCCGCTGCTCCTTCTTCCTCCCAGACTCTTCCTCCACCTCCCAGGCTATAAAAGTGATTGAATAACAGAAACAAGCCTTCTTCTCTTCCCCGCTTCATCTGCCTATCCAGTTCCCATGTTCTGTGCCTAGACAGATTTTCTAGTTAAGGCCGAAATTAATCCTGATGGACAAGATTTGGAACAGCTAGAAAAGTGATTCTCTAGGATGCTGGCCTGGCAGGGCTGGTGGAGTGAAGTTAGGAAGTGGGGAGGGCCAGGGAGAAGGCAGGCAAGCAGGAGTGAGGGGGGAAGGTGAGAATTAAGACCGCAAGAGTGAATTAAGACCTGAAAGGTGAGGGGGCTAAGATATATGGCAACTGTCTGTCTCGAGAAACAACAGAGGTGTTCTTCTTCACCTCTGGGGGTGAAGTCAAACTGCGGCGTTAGCAGCACTGAGATGATCTCTCTGGGGCACAAGCCAGGGCACAAGCCTGGGCAGTGTGTATGGAGGTCCTGGGCTGCCCCGATGACAAGAACCCCCTCAGCCTTGCTGATGTGGCCCCAAAGAGACTCTCCACTCCATATTTGTGAAAGGTTTACTCCTTAGCCTTTTCTTCTCTCAAAGATATCCCGCAAGGTAGCAGATGTTTAGGATCAAAGTTTTCATTCTCCTATATGGGCTACCTTCCCAAGCTGACAAGCCTCACCTGCCCCATTTTCCTCTACAGCACGTGCAGAAACCATCATTGGACCGTTGGGCCCACTATTGGTCTTGCCCACTCAATCCACCAGAGCCTGCCTTCGCATGCAGGGGTGCTAAGAAGATGGGGGGGGGGTGAATTCAGGTGAGGCTGACAAGTCTGGGTTGCAGGGATGTTGGCAGCCTGAGGTAGAATTCAGGGCTCCAACCATGGGGGGCAGGGGCGGTCTATTTCCTTCTGGAGCCTACGTGCCAGCAATGAAACACTTTCTGTCAAAGGTGAAAGCATGCAACAACATAACCTAATATCCATCAAGTCTATCAGCATTCCAACAGCCTATTTCATTGGAAATTGAAAATTCACCACACGTTAAGTGTCTGGAAATAAATCGCCACAGAGGTGTAGGGTGTATAACCTCAAGAATTCCGGCAAACCTAAAGATGACGCTACATCCAACCCTTTCAGAAGAAGTTTAACAAATAGCAGTGAAAATGTTCTGTTCTCATGGGCATTTGATGCAGTAGCCCAAGGGCTATAGCTAGGAGAGCTGTGCTTGTCTCACCACCTCCACCGGCCAATTCAGAACCTCCTGGCCTCGGTTCTGCATCTAGAAATAGCAAGGAACCTTCCTTCACAGAGATGCTGTGTCCCCGCTCCTGAGCCTAGATCTAAGGCTTGTGCAAATGATCGCGTATAACAGCCAAAGGCCTGTTACGCAATGCACATGTAGTGCTTTGAACGCTTGAAGGCGTTGTGTCGATGATGCTACCCATCTGAATCCAGCCAGATCAATGAGAGATGCAGATGCACCAACATCTGCCGTGCATGTGCAAGACAGCTCCTGTGCACAAATCTCACTTTGCACTCAGGCAAAAGCTTGCAAAACAGGAAGCTTGCACACACATCTCTGGGAGCAAAGCCACATTGAACCAAATGGAATTTACTTCTAAGCAGATATACACAGATATACACTGTAAAGCACAATGCAGGTTAGGGCTCCACTCCTGTGTACAAGGAACTTTTGAGCTCAGTAGAGCTACCTTCTGAGTACACTTAGGAAGCTGCCTGGATCAGACCATTCGTCCATCTAGATCCAGGTCCTCGTAGATGCCCATGTAACTGGAAATGGGCTTTTTCTAAGAAATGACATTTTAATGCAAACAATGTCATGTGGACACTGCAAAAAATAATTTGTGTGCATGTACAGTACTGACCCCACAATAAACCGGCCACCCAGAATTACCCTAAGAAAAATCTATATCACACGTTGCCTGGAAAGAATGGTAAAACAGTGGCCTCTAATGTCCAATAGGGAGAATGCCAGGTTCACACAACAAATATGTGCAGAATGAACTAGGGAGCAGCTGGCTTACTGCCTGCTCAGTATTTCAAAGTATGATTTCTTATTTTGTAATCTTAATAATAAATGTGGAACAGGTGACCCAAGGCTATCAGGGCCTGACTGCAGGATAGAAATACAGGGTAGTAATCAATTATATTTTACCCAGAGTAGACCCACTGGAAATAATGGACATTGCAAAGGTTCATTAATTTCAGTGAGTCTACTCTTGAGTATAACTTTATTCACTACCACCCACATTAAACAAGAAACATGAATTTGAAGTACAATCATGCTTTCCCATCATAAATTCAAAGCGCACATGACTCCCCTCCCCGAAAGAATCTTGTGAACTATAGTTTAAGGGTGCTAGAACTGTAGCTCTTTGTAAACTGCTTTGAGGTTTTGTTAAAGGCAAGCAGTATACAGATCTTATGAAATGAATAGACCTAAAGACAAATCCAAGAAATAGCTTCCTTCAGACAAAATCACAAGGTAGATTGTATATGAAGCTTCTGAGAAAAAGTCCTTTAGTTGCTGGGAAGGTTTGTGATGTGTAACAAGTTTTTTAAAGCCAGCAGGTTCTTTGAATACCACAGCCGTTTCCTTGCTGCAGTGGGGACATGAAGGAAAGGTACATTCTGTTGTGAAATGTTGACAGGAAGGTGC